TAACGAGGCCAAACTTTGCGTGAATAATGTGACGTGCGGCGATTCATTTCACGTGGACGCCGCAGAAGGGGCGCTAAAGCCTGACTCCCACGATGAAATTCTGCTCGCTATTTTCAGTCGCGACGTCGCTCGGGATGCAAAAGCGTGGACAGTAGCTGAGGTGGTAAACGTCGATACTGAAAACCGCAAGTAGAATCGGGCATTACAAGTCGGTGAGGGCCACAAAGTTTGGTCTACGGGCCGCTTTTGTTTCAACGAGCAGACGACAAAAAACAGACAAGTATGAAAGAGCAGACGAAAGTTCGAACGATCAGGCGGCCGTGTGAATTTGAAGACGCACTGAACCTGTGGGTGGTCCGGACAACTTGGCGGTTTTCTCTCGTTCATGTTGGAACAAAGCAAATACATCTTGCGACCACAAAGTGTTGCCCGCACACGCAATCGTGGTTTTACAGCGTCCGGTTTGCCCTTTTCACGGCTACTATTCACGTTCTCGGACGAACGGAGGGGGCAAAAACACATGAAAACTGATCTTCAAACCTTTCCAGACTCTCTTCGTACAGCCCCCGTCGCAGCATTTTGACGAGAAGGCAGGTTTTTGTCTCGTTTCTTCCAAAAGAACACAGGAACGCATGTCTGGCACGGCGACTTCTGCCCACCGCCCCAGACCGGAAGTGCGTCCGGCGCGCCACCACCGCGGCGTGACGTAGGAGAGTTGAGTTCGTGTATACCTTTTCTGTGGTTTCCACGTCTCTTAGGGTTCGGGCAAGCCAGCGGGCACGGAGAGAGTAACTAAATATCAATGCGTCATATTTTAACAGGACGACGCGGAAACCTCCTCCACCGACGAGGGCGACCCGCGGTACTGAAAGCGCGCAAAATGTGACGTCTTTGGTCCTGGGCTTACTACTGGTCAGAGCCGCTAAAAGCCTCTTTGTAGTCGAAATGCAAAATATAAGTGGCGCGAATCGTTTCAATTACTTATAAAAGTAGTTTTTGTTCAGTATATTAGATCGGAAAAGAAACGAATGCAGTTTATAAAGTGCGGAAACAAGAAATGACTCGCCGACATACCCGCCACCAAGCGGTGGAAAAGGCGGCGCATTATAGAAAGGAGTAGTGGGATCAGGCGCCGACACGGAAAGGTCCCGGATGTATGCGGCAGCGCTGTGGTCGTATGGACAGGAGGATCCGACCGGCTCCGAGAAGCTTTGTCTTGCGGTTTGGCAGTTTCACGGTATAGCAGCGCGAAGCGGCTCTTAATCTGAACTGATCTTTACCCCGTGTTTGCTGTCGTTTGTGGCCAATGAAGTGTCATGCCGAATTAGTGTTTAATCGCGCAACAAATGCAAGGAGAGACGCTTTGGCAGCCCGCTGCATACAGCCTATCCAGAACATGCTTTAGTGGCGCCCTCTCGCACCGTCGACAAGCAGTGCAGCAGCCGTGAGCGCTCGCTGAGCTCACTATCCCTCCTCTAGTTTACGGCCACTCAAGCAACCAAGGACGTCATGAGGGAGGTTATTTTGTAATTGTAAATTTTGTAATTTTAATTTGCCTATAACTTTTAAAATAAAGCGAATTTTGAGAAAAGAAAAGTTTCACTAAGTTACTACGTTCAGTGCGCTCAGGTTCAGTGCTAATTAAAAACCAGTAAAAAAGTCCTCTCAGGAGGTTCTCCACAGGTTTTTTTCATTGTCTCCGATTTGCTTGAAATTTTGCTAAACTAACCAACAAACATTGCTAAAATAGTATCCCAAATATTAGGTCAAAATAGTGTTTTTTTCGCGAAGTTATTGAATTTACAGTTTTGGTCTTCACCATGTTTTTCAAACTGAAAGTCTCTACTGGCAACAACAACAAAGTGACGTCAGTGGAAGGCATGGGTTAAATTTTTGGACTACAGAAGTTGTTCCCGACGGATTTGAAGCAGTTTCATGGTGTCAAATGAGTGCTTTGGAAGCTCGCTCCCGTATCCGCGCTCCAGCACGGAACAAATGATTGGCATGTTCTATTTTTAGACTACTTGCTTGACTGGCAAGCCTGCCTGCCAGTGACGTCACAGCACTGAAAAGTGCGCAAATATTTGAATGTTGGTTTTTGCACCATATTCATTTGCCGATTTCACAATACCTATTATGAATTTCGCGATACTAAATAGCATACCGGAAAGGCTAAGGCCGGGGAGCCAGAAAATATAGTTAGTTGAGGTAGCTCGAAAAATCGGTCGAGTACCCCTTTAAGAGTGTAAAAATTTCACTAAACAGCATCATCTAATGAAAAGAATTTGTTTGCTGCAACGGCTGATAGATGGCGGCACGAAAGATTGCAGGCAGCCGCGACAAGGATTTCCTTCGACCTTGGCAGTAGCAAACGACATTTCTGAACCAGAAGCAAAGAACTTTTTTTTTTCTTTTTGCATAATTGTCAATGCACGCTACATGCTGTCGTCTGCTTTGCACTGTGTGGTTGTTACTGCGTCTCTTTTCTTGTCTCCCAACCTTCACCTGTGCTGTTTTGGGATGTCATTTTCATGATGCACATAGCTCCTAACAACGAGTGAAGCTTGCTTCATTACGGGGAGTGCCAAAAAACGAATGGGATCTGCCAACGTTTTCGAGTGGAGATTCGGTGGCGACCTCCAGGCTCCCCTACAATTCTAAGCCGGGCAAGGCACGCCTAATCGAGGAGGGGAGCCTCCAGAACAAGCCTTCGACAAGAGCGGTGTCATCTTCGAAGCAGACGCTAAATAATCCAGTATTCGGTGCCTTCCCTGCCGACCCTTACCTGTTGACGCAGAAAGCCCTGCCGACATCTATCTGCTGTTGCGCCAATCAAACGTCTTTGGTTAGCACACGGCCGCAGTCAATACATGCCTTGCACCTACGTCACATGATGACGTCGAACACCGGTATCTAGCATGCTGGCGGTTGACTTGACAGCCCTCCGCAGCGAGAGCAATGGTAAACTGCACCGCACTCGGCTGTACCAATTACCCTGTATCCCGAAGATTGTCCGATCGTTTCGCCGGCATGCCCCGCGAGACAGAGTCGCCGTCAAGTGGAAAGTATGAGTGGCAGAAAAGGGACGCGGCCGCAGATTATCCAGTTTGCGGGACGCATTTCATAGCGGCGAACGACGGCACTTTTCTACCGTTGTTTACGTTCGCGCACACCTTTACATTGGCTTTTGCTTGTTCGTGATGTATATGGCCTTCGTTACATAATGCCGTTTCCATGCTTCAAGCGCACCTTCGGGCCTCCCGGCCGCATCTGGGTGAGCGTCGTGCCGCGAGCTCGGCCAGACGGCGATCGGTCGGCGGCAGCCCCCGTGTGCAAGCTCGCCATGCCGCCGGGTCATCGGGCTGTGCTGTCCGCGAGCCGGTAACCTTTCCAAGGACGAAAGTATGCAGGCGAGCCGGTTGGGAAACATCATAGTATAAAACCTGAGACAATGAGGGTTGCCTCGTTTGTTATTTGATTTATCCTTGTCTCAGGGTTAAGATTATGACGGTAACATTGCGTTGTTTACCAGTATTTCACAAAATCGTAACAATTTTTCCATAAGCGACTCCTAGAGCCGCTCGTCAAATTTTGAAGCGCTCAAATAAGCTTTTTTCTTTTTTTGGCGACACGGCAGCCCTTCCCGTCAAAACTTCATTGGCGGCATTTCGAAACTTTCTGCTCGTAGCGCAATCGCACCCCCCCAATGCCGAAAACTTCCGCACATACTGGATAAACGTCATCATTGTAAGCTCAGCACATCTTTCTAAGTTCACGATACCTTTGTTGAAAATATGGTGCATGTTAGCGCATGCCCGGGCCGTTAGCGGCATCCTACGCCTTGGTAAGCGCATCCGCGCGGTGTGAAGTCAACCACCAGTATAGTGCGGGGCCCCGTACTTCCCTAGTGTGACGTCACTTGCACGGTATGTATAGGGATTTCAAGTTCATTTCAAATTTTTTGGTCAGGTTTGTTCAGTGAAATTCTTATACCCTTTATGCACGTTCTCCGGTCATCCCTATGAAAAATCTTAGCTCTATAAGTCCAGAAATTGACTTATGCAGGCTCGTCAAAAAGACATCATTCCCTTTGAGGCACCCTGTAGAATGCCTAGAAAGCTCGACGAGTCATTGAGTGGTGAGAACCACGCCGCAACCTCCTAAGCACTCAAAATTAAGTTCTCCACTGGTACAGTTGACAATGGTGCACAGTGGCGCGCGACAAAAAAAAAATCACACAAGATACGCATTTCACATAAAGCTCAATTCCCAGCACGTAGATGTGGCTGCCCGTGTTCCCCCACGTTGTTGTTTTCGGCTCTTGGAAGGGGCTTGCAATGGCATCTGTCACGCTGCCACACGCAGTACCAGCCAAGCCCATGGGACGAGTTCCGATCAAACGTAAGCAAATTAAAAAAGAAGAAAAACTGCCTAAAATAATTTTGAGGCAAAGTTCGAGATATCCATAAAATCCCTCCCTTCTTTGTTAGTAGCAGAGCCCAGACCTTGGAAGTAACCAACGCCCTCCCCGATTTCATGGCCAGTAAATTCTTTCTGAATGAATAATGGAAGTGGATCCCAAAAATATAGCTTTCAGAAGGTTCGAGTTTCAATCGGTTTTAACGCAATTTTTTGCATTAGGCCTAGCGTTTGACGCGCTTCTACGGAAGAGGTCGCCGCTCAGCAAGCGTTCACTTGCAACCTCGAGAGTTCGCGTCGAACATAGCGAAGTCGAGCAGTAAAATAAGCACGAACTCCGCTTCACTGGTTTTATGGTGGCCGTAATCGACATGTTTCATAAGATTAACAGCACCCGCCAGGACGGTTAAAAAGCAAAATACAAAAAGTTGGGAAGTTAACATCGGAGAGCTCGGCATTACGTTATGAAGGAGCGCTGGATTTGACCGGGGTCTTACCACGTCTTAAATTGGAAGCTGGGGTACGAGTAAATTGAGTAGTAAGAGCTTTAATTAGAGACACAGAACGATAAACCCACTTACAATTCAGTCGTGCTTCCTTCGGCGGGAAAAATGCTATACAGTACTGCTTCGCAGAAACTACAAAAACATGAATATTTAACTAAAACAAAAAAATAACAGTTGTGCTAAAAAAAACTTAATTTATTTATTATTACTAATAAATTAATAATTTAATTAATTGAAATAGCTAAAGGTATGTCACGTGATCACGACTGCTGCGCTTGATTCTTCTCGCAGTCACCCGCTTGCTTCACTTCAGTCCCTTTGTTACTTGAACGGTCGGTGGTTGTAGACGCGCTTGTCTGCAAGGAAACATGGGAGCACAAGATGTAAGTTGTTTGTCGGCGAAACTTTCCGGTATTTAGGGATTAGTGCGTAGTGCTAAGCCCAGAAAATCTCGCCCTCCCTTTTTTTTTGGATTCAACGAGCTAGAAGAGTTTATTTTTGCCGGTCCCCTGGCCGGCACGCTTTACCCCAATGTCTCGATGGCATTGTAGTCGCCGGAGTCTTTTCCTAATATGTAACTAAATGCGTAAGAGCTGCCGAATACGACTGAGTTAACGCGCACCGAATGTAATTAAAATCTGCACAAACTGCGCATCTCGCTTCCCTAGTCCTAGTGCGCAGTGTTCGAATCGTCAAAATGGCGCCAGACGCTTGCGCGTGTACCGGCCATCGTTTGGTGTGATGTGCGTCATGCTGTTAAAAGGGCGTAGTTTCTTACCAAACATGTTCGCTTTTCCGGCTTCTACAGTATGAATTAGGACAAGCATTCTTTGCCTCTACATTTTTTTTTTTTAGGTTCCTAGAATGTGCAATTTTTGTGCCTCGCCATTAGGCTTAAAGTTGCTTGCGCAATCGGCGTATTTGTTAGATGATAGAAAGACAACTTTTTTTTACCCTACTACTTTTTGCTCTCGTTTTCCTAGAATAAGCACGCCGTTTACGCATTACGTGGCTGACCAAGATTGGGCTTCATGGCCCAGGACGTTATTCGAATTACCTCTGTAGCACTAACCTCGCCGGGTGAAGAGCCATTAAGGTCTAGCGACGTGGCGTCGTCCATGTTTGCCCTTTTATGGGAATATCCGTTGCGGCGGCGCGTGCCCATGTGATGTGCTGCCGCACTCTGCGAACCGCTCTCTACGACCGGCTCTTGTCCGAGTGAACTCGCTTTGAGCAATGCCGTGATAGAAGATTGCACTAGAGGGGTAACCATGCATTTTTTTCGTGGGACGGGTGGCTGAGGTGGCAGGTCTTTCCCTGGGGGGGGGGATTTTTTTTTTTTTTTTATGTACGCGTATATTATAGTCTGCTGTATTTCAGGAGGGGGGCGGGGGGAATTCTTTCTGGCTAAGCCACGGCGATATTAGCGGCAAGATGTTTTGGTAGCGCCCTCCTATGGTTTCCTCTCGTGACGTCCTTACCTTGCAAACAATAAGTTCGATGGTGTGTGTAATTAGCATGGTGGAAGCTTAAAATCATTGCGCTCTGAAACCAACACCTTCAAAATTACAACCTTTGCTGACGTCATAGTCAGTATTCGGCCAATCGTGGAAGGCCGACCACAGCGACTTTTAATCATGCACGTCGCCGATAGCCATCTGCGCAGCTACCAAGATGGGTGGTTCTGCGCGGCAGAGCAACCAGACCGGAGTGTGAATGTCAACGTGCCAGAGTCAAGTGTTGTGCAATGCCAACTGGCGAAAATTAGATGTGTGTTATTTCGTCGAGGCGCAAACATTTCTCAGGCATGAAGCACCGCTTGAATCTAGTCTACTTGGAGTTTTGTATGAACAACGTGGAAAACTTTTTTTCTTAATGTGAAAACTGCTATAGGTCTCAAGTTTTCAAGGTGTTACTGCCTAGTTTCTCGTCCAGTCCTGCCACGTTAGCTGTATTTAGAGCATGTTGCAGGTTGTCAAGTAGAGGAGTCTATTGTCGTTTGAGCTATAAGAAGGGTTGTAGGGATCGTATGAGTGAGACTCATTGCCGTGCCAAAGGTTATTGGTAATTGGATGCGAGCTGTGCTAGTGAAATGGTGCAGCCAGTCGAGACTGCGTGCAAGCCGGTGGGTTCCTGTGAGGGTTCCGACGGTGTGTGTGGTCTCTGCAGGGAGAGAGTGAGCCGGAGCAGTTCCGCAAGCTGTTCATTGGCGGCCTGGACTACAAGACGACTGAGGATAGCCTCAAGGGCCACTTTGAGCAGTGGGGGGAGGTGGTCGACTGCGTGGTGATGCGGGACCCCTCCACCAAGAAGTCTCGGGGCTTCGGTTTCATCACATTTCGCCGGGCACAGATGGTGGATGACGCACAGGCGGCCAGACCCCACAAGGCAAGTGGGGTACCTCTTTCCAGGAAAGGGTGTAGATGGTTTCAGGAAGGCTGAGAGATCGGAGCATCCCGTGGCTCGTTGACACCAGTCTTTATGTGACCGTTCCGTACAAATGACAAAGAATGTTGCATGAACCCAATTCTCACCATTTCTACCTCGATACCCTCTTCTATTAATATGGCCACCACATATTGACAAAAAAACCTTAGGGTATGGGTGGATGCTAGGGGTGTTTTGGACGCCACATGGTTCGTGACCAGTACTTGTCACGTCTGCTGGTGCTTGGAGCAGCACCTTTGTTTTCGATTGGGGGATCTTAAATAAGAGGGCCGATGGGGGCTGTGTGTGCAGGTGGACGGACGGGAGGTGGAGCCCAAGCGGGCAGTGCCCCGTGAGGAGGCCGGGCGTCCGGAGGCTCAGGCCACGGTCAAGAAAGTGTTTGTTGGGGGCCTGAAGGACGACGTGGACGAGTCGGACCTGCGCGACTACTTCGCCCAATTTGGCAACATCCTGTCGGTCAACCTGGTCACCGAGAAGGAGACCGGCCGCAAGAGGGGCTTTGCCTTTGTTGAGTACGACGACTACGACCCCGTGGACAAGATTGTCCGTGAGTGTCCTGGAGTGGAACATGGTTTTGTATCTCGTTCGTACGAAGGGCCTCTATAGGAAATTAATGGTGTTTTTCTCGAGTTTTTGCTTTGAAGCAGTGTAGGATAACTTCTAGTTAATATTTTGAGAGCGAAGGTAGTTTTCGAATTGCGCCTAATTCCTAACGTGTTGCGGCCAATTTCTCTAAATATCATCTTTTGGGGCTGTGTGATAAGGAACCAGTCTTCTGCGTAGGACAACCTAATTGCTGGGGGGGGCATTGTGTGGACCTGGAGTGTTCCCTTACCGAGGCTGCCTGGTGGTACTTGCAGTGAAGCGTCATCACATGCTGAAGGGCAAGCGGACAGAGGTGAAGAAGGCCCTCTCGAAGCAGGAGATGGAGAACCTGAAGAAAGACAAGCGGCCGTCGTTCCGCGGTGGCGGAGGCCGAGGCGGCAGAGACTGGGAAGGAGGCTACGGTGGTGGCGGCTACGGATCCGGTGGCGGCGGCTACGGAGGCGGTGGCTACGGATCCGGGGGAGGGGGCTATGGCGGAGGAGGAAACTGGAACCAAGGTGGCGGTGGTTACGGCGGAGATGGCTACGGCTCCGGTTTTAACCAAGGTGGCTGGGGAGGAGGCGGAGGAGACTTTGGCTCCGGTTATGGAAACAGCTACGGGGGCGGACCCATGCGCGGAGGCCCTGGTGGATACAACCAGCGTGGCTCTGGGCCTTACGGTGAGTCTGTGGGTTAAGGTTGCCACTCCACTGCCTGTTGGAGATGAGCTAGGACTGGGTTTGCTTACGGCTTGCCTCATTTAATATTTGCCAAGCTATGCGGATGGTTACTCTTCCAATTGGCAGTGAAAGTGAGGTAAAATTATACCCTCGTTTGGCTTGGTTACTGTTCCAATTGTTAGTGGAGGAGAGGTAAAATTAAATCTTAGTTTGTTTTTGGATAGCCATACCCTTTGGGCTTCCTGCCAGTAGCTTTGGCACCATTGGCAGGGCTACTGGTATGGGGGAGGGGGGTTAATTAGGTTTGTTAGCTTAGAGCTTTTGGAACTAAAACCCAGATTGTGCATTAATTAAAAGATTGCCAGTGCCGCTATTGTGCACACTATATTGCGACGAGCAGTTTTGCATTCTGGCAGGAGCAGTGCCTGAGCGAAATGGACTTCTCTCGCAGGCAACGGGAGCTCAGGCGGCGGCTACCGGAGATAAGCGGCCATGCAGCAGCACATTGGGGGTGAGTGCCTGGTGGGAGGCCTTGCCTGGGCCAGTGTGTTGAGTGCCATTTTTCCGCCTGCAGGGCAGCCAGACAGGTTGAGGTGCAGAACAGGGCAGGGACGCCAGGGCTAGGCAGCTGAGGCTTGGCTAGGCCGTTGGAGCTAGCTAGGCACTGGTTTCCCCGCACTGCTCGGGCGCATCGGCCAGGAAGGAAGGACAGACTAGCCGTGCCGGCTGCTTCCCACGAAGGCTGCCCCCAGCCCCTCATACGCCACAGCATTTCTTAACAAACGCCTCATTGTCATGTATACACCTTTGTCCTCTCACTATGGAAGCGCCTCCCCCATCTCCTCGTGGCCAGTCGCTATGTCGAGGCACCTCTTAGATGTACCGCGAGTGATCGTCTGGGTAAATAAAGTGCGTTCAGGATGTCCTCCGTGGCAAAGGCGTTGTCAGTTACTGTCGGCAGTGCCGGGGCAGCCTTGCGGGCTCCCCGCGTCGGCGGCGGCAGCAGTCAAGACGTATCGAGGACGTATGCTAGGCCAGAGGAAGGCCTCGGGCAGGCGCATCTCTATGCCAGGTAATGTCGGGTCTGCAGATCCAAGTGCCTGGGACCCCAGGTTGGGACCCCAGTCTGGCCGGCCCCCCTTCTCTTAGGGCAGTGTCAGGCTGATGGGGGCCGCACAGGAGAGCAGGCTTGTGTAGCTTCGTGTGGGCAGGCAGATGGCCCCACTGTAGGTAAGCAACAGGTCACTCAGCTACTCTTGTCTCGTGTGGGCAGAGATGAGGGGGGTGCATGCTCGTCTTTGGGCCTGGCTCTTGGGTTTCCTTTGGAGGCTGGGGGACGGTGGAGTGGCCCTGTGTCTGGTGCTCCCCCATTTGAATTCCCAAGGTCTGTGGCAATATTCAATTGCAGTCTCATTGGCCACCTGTATCCGATTTTTTTGTTGCATTGCTGTACCCTAGAACTGGTGGCTCCTCATGTCAGCTTGGGCGACATGCACAGTGATAAAATTCTGTTTTAGTTTGCTGCAGCCATTGCTGGGGTGGCACTACTGCAAGGTCTGACCCATCTTCAAATTGATTGTTGCTGCACAAGGTGGGATTGTGCAGAGGTCTGCCCGAGCATAATCTCGGTGGCTTCCTGTATTCAATATGGCTCACCTTGCAGAATATAGATTTCGTTGGATGATGGCTCCCTCCAATACATACCGGAGCAAAGACATCCTCGCGTTTAACCGTTTTGGAGTTTGTTGTAGTGTGGACTAGGCCCAGGGCTCGTCCACTTGTCGCTACTGTGGTAATTTCGGAGTATTTTGATACGCATCATTAACCTGCATGCTGCAGGAACCCCTGTAAAGTTGGCTCCATGGACCACGAACATATTTGGGCTGCAGCAGTTTAAGTAAACTAGACTACTCTGCCGTCCCCTAGCCAACGAGACATCCTAAATAAAGCTTTTGGTGTCTGTAGTTGTGCAAGTGCCCAGTTGTGTGGGGACTTCGGATCCACCATTTACTTTGGCTTTGCAGAATCCGCTGCCAGCATTAGACTTCTGTGGTGACTGTCGAGGTGCCCACCAAGATCACCACTAGGTATGTAGGCTGGCCCGTGCACTGCATCCAGCAAAAGTAGCTCTAAGGTTCATGTACAGTCGCCATTTTGTGCCATGGAAAGATGGAGTTGTCATGAGTTACCAACCACTTTCGAGTGTTTTGGTCATCTTTGTATCCCTTGTTCACTAGTTGGGAAGGCATGTACCAGGGTTGCACAGGTCCCTGGCTTCAAAGAAGCAGCGGTATTTTGGGCTCTATAGACTCTTATTGAAGAGAAACAATGAGCAAAAAAGAACTTTCGTGGAGAAATTATGGAACTGTCGTAAGCTGCTTTAAAAACCCTGTTTTTGTAATATACAAACTCTGCGTAGCATGCCACCTTCTGCAAAGGTGGACTTTGCTGTTGGGGAAGGAAATGTCTGGTGAGGGCTGTGATGTTTGCTCTGCTGAATATGTGCCCTTTGTGCAGCCTCGGGCCCAGGCAGGGGCTGGAACCCCCTGCCAAGTGCGGCATCCGAACCTTGGTCATCTCTTTGGTTGTCTTCTCCTCCAGATTCAGGAGCCTCTGGAGAGTTCTGACATGCAGTAAAGGCTTTTGGCTCACGTGTGGGTGGTTTGTCCTGCTTGGCATTGAGCTACTGTGTTTTGGGAAGTGGCTGTGGTTGAAAGGTGTTGCAGCGCGTCTGGGGGGGAGTATTTTTTGAATGTGCATTTTTCTTAACTTTCGCTGTGCCCTGAAGGTGATTAACAGGCAGACGTTAGCTTTAAATTTAGATTTCTTGTGCCTCCTATGAAAGATTGGTTTATGAGGTGATGCTGCAACATAGTCCACATCTAGGTTGGCAAACGAGGGCTGGAATTGTTTCCGTACCCTCTTAAAGGGGCCACTAAGAATTGCTTCCCAATGGAAGTCTGCAGATAAATAATGAACGGTTCATTTCCTCAAGTCTGACAATACATGGCTAACGTTAATCATAGACACGCGCCGAGATTGGCAAAGTAGAAAACATGCAGAACACACTTGATCAGCGCAGTCATTGGGCACGTGCCCCTACCTGAATGTCTACCGAGGCATTTATTGTTGAGAGCGCAAGTCTACTGCTCGCCGAGTTCTTGCATTCAATCTGTGAGGTGCACTCTACTCGTCTGATGGGTGGTTTTGATCCTACAAATTTGCGGCGGCAAACTTTGCAAGGGCGAGGCTCCCCACTGTCCGTGCGGTTCTTTTCGTCCCTTGTCCCTATCCCCGGTTTTGGGTTTACGCTGCTCAAATGGCCCCCTTTTATGCTCACAATTTCATAGCGAAAAGCTTCTGTGAAGTGAATATTTAAACCCAATATTCCATTGCTCCCACCTCTTCTCCCCTGTGAGGGAGCCGCCAAGTTTCCTCTGGTCTATCCTAATGATTCATTCGGGGCTGGGGTTAAAACTCCCAATTTCTCCTTGTCCCTCATGTCCCCCAGCTGTGCTAGTAGGGGCCCAGCAAGGACACTTTTTACCAATTTTTAATTTGCACCGAACCTGAACGTAATATTGTAATGAAACTTTTTTTTTCTCGAATTTCACTTTATTTGAAAAGTTGTAGGCAAATTAGAATTGCAAAAACAAGCAAAAAAATAACCTTCATGGTGTCCTTGGTTGCCTGAGTGGCCGTGAACTACTGAAGAGGGGTAGTGAGCTTGGCGAGCGGCCGCAGCTGCTGCACTTATGTCACGGCTCGAGAGGGCGCCACTAAAGCATGCTCCGGCAAGGCTGTATGAAGCGGGCAGTCTGAGCCAACGTTACTGGAGCAAGCTCAGTTTCACTGCAAACGTGGGCTCGGTGGCGGTTATGAGAACTAGCAGCGCTGCGGTCGAGTCTTGCTTCCGGATTGTCTAGCCGGCCAAGCTTGAGCTCTGGTGAGTTGGCAATTCATACCAGCACTTCACGGCACAAGGAAACAGATTTAACAAAAATAAATTTCAAACACTCGGAAGAGAGAACGCTCGCAATGCACTGACTGACCTCTGTGGTGTATTGCACTTCATTCTTCACCTTTTTTGCTTTTTGCTATTATACACATGGAAGCTCTCAAGGCAGCGGTAGCAGACAACGCGCAAGACAGGAAAGCATGATCCGACTGTAGCGCCGCTAGTTCTCATGATTGCCACCTGAGCTACTCGCCTCTGCAGACGAGAATAAGGAGTGGCGAAACAGCTTGCTCCAGTAACGTTGGTCAGGGCAGCTCGCTTTGCATTTGCTGCGCGATTAAACACTAATTCGGCATGACACTTTACTGGCCACAAACAACAGCCGACACAGGGTATAGATAGTTTGGAACGAGAGCCACTTCACACTGCCATACCATCAAAAGGCCAAGCCGCAAGCCAAAGCTCCTCGCCGAAGGCCGCTGGGATCCGCGAGGATCCTCCAGTCCATACGACCGCAGCGCCGCCACATACATCTGGGACCTTTCTGTGCTCGCCGCTCGTCGGTGCCTGATACCATAGAGTTATAATGTACGCTAGAGGTTCAACTGGCGCTAGTGTCTATGCGACTTCCGTGACGCAAATTGAAGCAGACAGCAACCAGTCTACTTTTGCGGTGCTCCTGTGCATTCCTATGGGAAAACGCGCATGCATTTTTCCTCTTCGCCGGAAAATAACACGGACCACTTTGGTTATTTAGGTCGTACCGAATTGTATGAACCTTGATTAACACTGAAAGTGTAATTGCTTTAGTTAGCGCATTTTTCTTCATCAGTGAACGATGTTTAACTTTGCTACATTTCAGTCCCAAACGTGTGTTCCGCAGCAGGTGTGTAAAAACAAGCGACGATTCAAAGCAAAATTACAATCGAAACGAATATAGAGTGGGTTCAAGGCTCGCCAGCATTCCGGTGACGATTGTATATTGATAATATGCCAGTCCTGTCACTATATGAAAATGATCCCGTCGTGCATGAGCGGATAAAAACCTTCAAAACGTAGATAATAAAGTCCGTGGGCTATGAAAGGTGTCTCTTCGTATTGTTTTCTCTGCCGGGCAGCTTTTATCGCGCACTTGTTCTAAAAGATATCGAGCGCGCGGGTGATATTTTGAACGTAGAACAAGCAGCTTCGCTCAGGGCAGAAAGAATAAAGCGGTACTTACTTATTTAAAATCGGAGTAGATTACGTGGCCTTCAATTTATTTTGATCGTACATGCACTGCGAGTTACTGATCCAGTGTTACTGCGCAGTTCTTGCCGCCGCTCTTGATTTTCCACATGTCCTTTGTTCGTTTGACATGTATATCCCCCATGCTGTAAATCGCCGACGCCGTGTTCGCGCTAACAGTGTCCGACGGTGCACATAAATACACGTACGAAGCCGCTTTAGCGCAGTTTTTAATGCGATGAATTCGAAAGAAAAATGCCGTAACTGACCAATTATTCCGTCGGCCTGACTGAGAAATGTTTCAAGCTACCTAGCACGTACAAATTCTTTGGGATATTTGCTCTTATCACCGAGCGCAGGGAGAAAATGCACTCACTTTTTCCCATAGAAATGCATTACCGGAAGTCAGTTTTCGACTGGTTGCTGTCTGCTTCAATTTGCGTCAGCACACTAGCGCCACTTGAACCTCTAGCGTACATTATAATACCTCTATGCCTGATACCACTACACCTTTCTAGTATGCAACGCCTTTTCCACTGCTTGGTGGCGGATATGTCAGCAGGTCATTTCTTGTTTCCATACTTTCTAAACTGCATGTTTTTTTTTTTCTGATCCAAAATGGTGAACAAAACCTGCTTTTATAAATAACTGAAATGATTCATGCCACTAATATTTTGTATTTCGACTAAAAAGAAGCTTTTAGCAGCTCTGACCAGTAGCAAGTTCAGGACAAAAGACATCGCAAATCGCGTGCTTTCGGCACCGTGGGACGCTCCTGTAGGTGGAGGAGGTTTCTGCGTCGTCCGGGTAAATATGACTGTATAAACAACTAACTACTAATTTGTTTGTTTTTGACGCACTGATATTTAGTTACTCTCTCCATGCCCGCTGGCTTGCCCAAACCCCAAGGGACATGGAAACCGCAGAAAAGGTAGACGCTTAAGTATGATTGCAGGGCCCCTTCAAGGTGTATTCACATGGGATGCTTTTTGGGGAGGGATGTGCGTAATGTCTGATGAACGGGGCTCCCTCCCCACTCGAGCATTCACATGAACAGTGGGGAGCTGAGAGGGACGTCGAGATCTAGCAGTTGCACTCTTGATCATTGCAGTCATTAGGTCGCTCTGACAAGAGTAGAAACATGGAGGTGTACATGAAACTTAAGTACACAATTATGGCAGCAGTACTGTTAGATCCATAGAATAACAAACTGCTTCCCTTTCAAAGAAAGATGCATTGCCTCCCGAGTCCTCTTCTAGGCGTCCTCAAGATCGTCCTGCAAGCCGTCCTAGACTGGCTTTCGCCTTCCTGCACCATAAGCACTCGTAAGAGTACTCATGTAATTTTTGCGCACATAGTATTTGGGTCGTCAAATTTGGCCCTATAAGTTACTGTGTTCTTAATCCCGTCCCTGCCCCAAATAGAAGAATCGGTTTTTTCTCGTGGAATGCTTTTGAATTATTGAGTGATCCTTCCTTCTTTATTTCTTGGTTTTGTGACCTATATATTGCTAAAGCTGACTTTCCTTGCATTTTCTCCTCCCATCTCTGCCTCCTTAACTGTCTTTCACTGAATGTTTGCTACCCCCCAATGTCCGTCTGCAGGAATTTTATCGTAAGCTTTCACATCCATTTGGTTCATTTTGTGTTGAGACTCCTGGTGTACAGCTATTTATAGATTTTATGCACCCACCACAAGTCCTTCATGTCTTGGTCTTTGGTCAAAATTAATTTTGCCCTTCTCCCAAACGGCCAGTCCATATTACCCTGCACTCCCTCGTTGGAAATGTTCCCATGTGCTCCTAGAGCCATCTTGCAGAGACTCCTTTGCCCTATCTCCCAGTCTCGCCTGAACTTCAAACCTCATGCACAAGACTGCTTTGCAAAAGGTCAATCCTGATACCATTCCTCCATACTCCCTGCACTACCTTATATCTCTTGAAGCACCATAGCACCTTGTTCGTAATGGCCGAATTCCCTTTACCTTTAGCAATTTGGTTTCTCATATTCTTCTAGGTATTTCTTTCCTTTGTTGATTCACACTCCCAGATGTGTGTGCTTGTCAACCTTATCCGTCCTCTTCCCGCACAGATTCCAATCAATTTCTGCAACTCGACCCAATTACCTGTTAAGAGTGTACAATGTCATCTGCATACTTTATGCCTGGCAATTTCTGCCTCACTATTTCCCCAATGTTGGTTTTCCCTTCTTTAATTGTGCAAAGTTGCCAACTTTGTGATGGAGTGGCATTTGACATTTTGCAGCAGGTCCTGTAACAGGCAAAACAGTCGCTTGAAAGAGTTGCTGATCCTTTTGGAGCAATGGCAACATCCGTTAGTCACAGTGTCACGCAGCTGCTGACCGCCTCGCTGTTGCCATGGTTACCATGCTGAGACACACTGTTGCCGGGTTTTCTGCAAGGGGTCTATTGTAGGGTGTCGCAAACTTTTGTCGAACCAGATTTTTTGGTCGAACTTTCGGGGTTCGACTGGGTCGAACCGGTTCGACGAACCTTCGAACTTTTCACCAGATTCGTCCGGTTCGACTTTGTGGACAGAGTGGCCAGACCTTGATACAAGCACGTCTAGGTTTGGAGAATTTCTTTTTTTATGTAAAGGGTTATTTTATTCTGTGAACAGCTGCAATTAAAAGAAACTAAATCTATTCACTGAAGAAGTTAATGACTTAAATTTTAGTACTGTATTGACTGAAATAGCCGATCAGCGCTGCACTTAATTCATCTTTTAGCCATTACCATCCAATCCGAAGCCAACTGGCCAGCCTGTCGCGCATGCGCACACGAGTCGAACCTCAATACAAGGTTCGACGAACTTTCCACTAAAAGTTCGAAAAAGTCGAACCTGGTCGAACTCGAACCGCGGCCGGTTCGCGACACCCCTAGTCTATTGTGGATATTTTTTATTATTTTCGATGAGGCACACAGAAGTGCTCATTAAAGGGCGTACAGAAGTGACTGTTTTGCCTTTGTCTGGTGAACTTGCCTTTTTTTTTTTGTGAATGTATGAACATGAATGAGTGTTAAGGAACTGTATCCTCATTCCCCCTTGCAATAATGCCTCTCAATGCTGCTTCATCATTGCACATAAGCAAGGAAATGAGTGAAAACATTGGATATAAACTGTTTGAATAAATTATTACTTTGGTTCGGTGAAGTCGATGTAATTTATTTCTTACATCTCAGTCTTGGCCTCTGGAACATCTTTGCACATCAATAGCTGCTTACCACTGGGATTCCTTGACTTGTTGAGGCACAAAGACACGGCATACCTCGGGTGCCTAAAATATGAAAGAAGCAATGGAAGGTTAATTGCAAATTACTCCAGATGCTGATAGCATGGTATGCAGATGATTAGAACATTGTTATTTTGCTCAGTATGTAGAAATGCAGTATAGTATATCTATACTTTGAAATATAAAAATGCAGTACAGTATATCTATACCTTGGAAACATTAATGACCTAGCTCAGATCTGGATAGTGAGCAGATTGTATTACTTTATCATAATACTTTGTATATATTAGCCTATTGTATGGATACATTGCTTGTCACTTGTATAGCACAAAGCTTTGCTCCATTGTGGCCTGGAGAAGGAACTGCACAGCCAGCGGGTGGGTGGGTACCTGTAAGGCTGCCTGTCAGTCGAGCTGCCCTAGATCAGCGCATGCCAAAGCAGTTACCTGGGGTCCCGCCTCCACAGGGGTGACCAGGTTTTGTGTGGTTCTCCCCTACAACAAACATACATAATGTGTATTACAGACAGAAATGCGCATTGAGGGATGAAGCTAGCTAGTCACCTCGAAGCCTTGCTCCACTGGGGCCTGCAACTGCACAGCCAGCAGGAGGGTGGTCTCCTATAAGGCTGTCTGTCAGTCGAGCTACCCTAGTTCAGCGTATGCCAAAGCAGTTACCTGGTGTCCCACCTCCACAGTGGTGACCAGGTTTTCTGTGGTTCTCCCCTACAACAAACATACATATTGTGTACAGCCTGACTTAGGGACATAACTGTACATTGAGGGCTGAACTAAATAAGCTAGTCACCTTGAAGCCTTGCTCCATTGGGCCCTGCACGGCCAGGGGTTGGGGGGGTTCCTGCAAGAATTCAATTGCACCTATGATAAGTAACCATCTGTGTCAATACTCGAGTGCTGAAATGATTGCTTTTAGGGGATTATCTGGAATTCTCATTTTTGGGGTTATCAAAAATTTCGGGGAGGGGGTGGGCGTTTGGGTTTATAACTCTGTGTACTTTGCACAGGAAATTCTGAGGAGTATTACACCCAACAATTGTGAGGTCTGTTAAGGGTGTTGTTGGGTGTATATGTATAACTATTTTGTTTGCTTTCGTGCGACTACGAAAATTCCTAGCAGTCTGCATAAACTCTTTTACATAAAAACACCACATGTATCGGTTTTCGAAGTTACTTTTTTAGTAAAATATCCATAGTTGACTATGCGGAGGGCAAGTTCGTCTGCTTCTTGCGCAGGGGGTAGCGGTGACGTCAGAACGCCGAGCCCTGCTTGGCTGATCGCGACCCCTATCTGAGCGTCGTCTGCGTCTGCCTTACCTTTCCTGCGACTTTCGAAAGTGCAGAGGCCAGACGCCAGGTTCACAAAACGATCTTACGCCAAAAATATGCATAAGACAAAACTTGAGAACAAATTTGTATTCATGAAAGTAAATTTTCGTAAGTTTTGCTTTTGCGCAGGTTACGACGAAATCCTACGACAGCTCCGAAGCTGTCTTACGCACTTCTTATAATCAAATCAGCATGGCCGACAGCGTCGCGGTCGCGACGACCAACGGACGTTTATTTTTCTACGTGCGCTTCTCACACGTCCCGACTTCAAGCAGCAAGAAAAAAGTGAAAAGTACTTGAAACGGATCACGACGAACAAGAACGCTGGATCCACAAATACCCGGGAAAAGCTCCAACGGCCACGATTCCACTGACAACGACCAAGCGAGTTCGGCAGATAGGCCTAGCAGGCACTCCGACTCGGCGACCGTCTGCCCATGACCGGCTGGTGTGCTGAATGGAATATGCCCGCTCGACCCTTGTGAATCCTTCCCATCTTATACTTTGATCGCTGACCTCAATTTTAGATTAAGAGGTCAATCTCTTCCTCTTGTCATCTCCTTGTTTTTCGAGGCAACGGTGACTCTCGTCGGCGAAAAAGCGGTGAATCTCCGACAGATGCAGGAAAGGTAAAGCAGCCATCGCTTTGACTAGCAGACGTAAAGCAGACGACGTTAACTGCGCCAACCTGCCGACGCCGTAAAAGAGTGAGGAGTCTCGCCGCACATGAAAGGAGGGAAAAAGTATTTGGGAGGGAACTTGCGGACGCTGACGCGCTCACTCTCGGTCTTAGCAAACAAAGCTCGGCGCCTCGGGACAATTCACCAGTGAGTCCTTTGACTTCCCTCCTTGATGCGCGTCTGCTAGTTGTTAGACAAAAATAACGTACCGCTCGAGTTATTTCGTTTGCCCTCTCTGAAAGGCGAAGTCGAGCTCGCTCGACATTCGAAAGTAGCAGAAAAAGTAAGACAGACGCAGACGACGTTGCAAAGGAGCAGACGACGCTCAGATAGGGGGTCGCGATCAGCCAATCAAGGCTCGGCGTTCTGACGTCACCGCTACTTCCTTTCTCATGCGCAGAAGACGAAAATGAGCCCACTTGCGAGGCGTATTATTTTGGTTCCTTTACGCACTGAATACATACCTTGTGCAAATGAAATGATGGAATTGCGTGTTTACATAAATGAGTGCGTCCTTTCAAGGTTTGCTCTAAGTTTTCAGGGTGGAAATGCTTGGAGCACACTCTGCCATCCTTTGAAGGCTCCCAGCCATCCTCTTTCCCTAGAGCCTTGACCCATTCTGCTCGAACTCGGGGATCTCTTGGAAAGCTGTAAATAGATTATTACTTATGCTAAACCAACTTTGTGAGATTTCATTTCCTCTATGCATTCTTAATATTTTGCTCATTAGGTCAGCTATGATGGAGGCTTAACTTCCGCAAACGTTCCCCTTCATTGTGCCTGTTTTACACCGTAGAAGTGGTACTTCGATCCAGGCAATAAGTAGGAATAACCACCAGCACTGCTCAATGACGTCACATATATACTACCTTGAAAAGAGAAAAAAATATATAACTTCGATGGCATTATCATTTTTCACAGTTACGGCCTGGTATTCTTCGAGCTAGCTCAGACCTCACTCCTTTCTAAATCAAATTAATCTGGGTATCATATCCCACGTGGATGTGGTTACCAAAATGAAATGCTATTCACTATGACAATAAATATTGAACCCAATTGTTTTCACAGCCATAAAAACTGGCAGACACATGGGAATATTTGTAGTATATGTATCCGGAAGATCGCCGAGCGGAAATAATTATTGCATGTAGCCTATGTTCAGACGAATATAGTCTACTTGAGGAAATTTGCAGTTTTTGATTGGACAAAACCAACTAGAAACTTTTAAATTCAATACACAGCATTTATCGGCGAGGGTACGCGCGCCTTGCCGATAAATAAATACAACGGTGAGCGCTTTACTGGCTTTACCGCGCGGGAAACCAGAAACCGCACGTTCGGTCTATCGCTCACTACAGCGCGAAATAGGAGAATGACAGCTTACCTGTGGTACGAGACCTTTTCCGTTGACAACGAACGTGAAGAACAGCATGTCACACAGCAGCTCGGCATAGCAAGCGCTCTAACAGCAAGTTCACAGCCGTGCTGGCCGTGCAGCGGAGCTCAGCTGGAGCAGCGCTCCTCCACCAACCCGCCGAACCCGCTACGATACCCGAAACTCCACCGGAGACCTCCCCCCCATACTCCACCCTCCACCCCCCCCCCCCCCCCCCCCCCCCCCCTTTCTTCATACTACATAACAACTGCGGCTCTCTGTACTGTGGTGTGTGTGTGTGTGTGTGGTAAAAGATTTTTTATATATTTTTTTTGTTCTTTTGACGCCATTAAAAAAAAAAAAAATCCAACATAATAAAACCAGGAGACGTCATTTTTTTTTTGTGTGTGTGTCTCTGTCTCTCTCTCTCTATTTCTTTCTTTCTTTTGTGGGGCACCCTGTACATATAATACTGGCAACCAGTAATCGCAACATTATTTGAGTCACGAACGTGGATGAAGACTACATGGTTGATGTTTGTTTTCCAGCATGTCTGCCTCATGCTGACATTTCATAATTTTTTAAGAGGCTGCAAGCATAGAGCTGTGGGATATCAGATTTGTATTGTGAATCGCATATGAATGTTTTTGCATGAATATTTTAATAAATCCCAGCTGAAAATTTTTGTTGAAAAGTTTTCTTAGTAGTGAAACGTTTCACAAGAAAAAGCCCTATAAGAAGATAAGTTGGGTTAAGCACAATGTAACATGGCAATAAGCGAAGCAACGACTACCTTATTTATTTGAATATGGCTCGAGGTTTCTTTTCTTTAGCTCTGTCCTTTAAATTTAGTGTTCAATCTACAGCCGTAACCAAAGAAGTCTGAGCTACAATAGTGATCAAGCTTTCCAAAACCTTCGAGCCATCTGAGATGCTCTTTTTGCACAGCAGCTTCTCCTGACCCATTGGTTCGAAGCAGTGAGATCTAATATACCTAAATACCTAATATACAAGGAACTCCAATACCTTAAAACAGTACAAGTGTGTTGCAAAGCGAATCGAATAGCAAAGTTTAGTTACAAGTGACTAGAAGTTCTGAATATTTATTTTTACTTGTCTGTTCATTTGTGCTTTATTGATATCCTAAAATATAACTAAGGCACCAAAACAAGTCTTTCTTTTTTGGAATGAAGATTCTTGATTTTCCAGATTGAGCTCAGTCCCCCCGTTTCTATTTTGATGACGAAGAAAAACCGAAACAAACAGTCTTTCACTTTGAGTTATTCTTTTTATGCCTTCACAAAATGCTACTCAACCAGAAATAATGGTCATAGTAATCAATATTTAAAATTGGAATAAATCTGTCGGGATGGAAGTCATATGTGTCTATACCGCATGCCCACGAATCTGGTGGAATGCCTTTAAAGTGACCGCGTAAATTGTCTTGGTAGTGTATCGCGCTATGATTTACCACAGTGGTGCCCAAAGGCGGTGAAAGAATCTCATCAAAACTTCAAAGCACAAGCTTGCACGAATGTAAGTAAAAAAAAAGCACAACCGATTTTTTCTACCTTGCACCCATTTTCTATCCACATATCCTCCGACTGGTGCGACAACAGACAGATGACGGCAGCGGCCGCGGCGTTCACATACCGCCCGATCACGCCAAAAGCAGACGACATGTTAGCTGACATTACTCGACGAACCATCGCTTTTATTTTGTGTCCAGTTAATTCGCTTTATTGGGAATGAAAAAGGAAATTGTACACTGACCGTTATAGCAGCGAAAAGGCGTGTGCCGTTTATGATTATAGAACAGTTTGCTTTTGTCACGATTGGGCGGTAAGACGACAAGGGGGCCACTGCCGCCACCCGTCGATCTTTGCACCAGTCGGAGGGTGCGTGGATAGCAGACGGGTGCCATAGGCAGGAAATATCAGTCATCGCTTCTTTACTTTTTATTCGGGTCAGTTTGTTCTTTGAAGTATCGAATAAATTGTAGTGCGATATACGTTAACGCGCTGATTTAGGCGGTCACTGTGAATGCTTTCCCCGGATTCGTGGGCACTCGGTAGTCACTGACAGGGCGAGAAGGGCAGGGGGTGCCTTTCAAACACTCGGCCTTTAGCGCACACTCTGCGCCCTCCGCCACGCCTTGGCTGCGAGCGTGTGCTCAAGGTGCACGAGACGCTGTCGTGGAAGGTAGGACGCTCGCACTGGGGCAAACTGAAGCTCCCCTCTGTTGTCCTCACCTTGTTGGGGACTACGTTCAACTCATTTATGAAAGTCCTTTGGCTGGTTGTTTGTCATTTCGCGACGCCTGGGCAGGGTTTTTGTAAAAGTTACTTCAAAAATGTATCTAAGATACAGTTACAGTTTCTCATATGAAAAGGTACCTAAGTCGGTACCTAGGTACTCGCTTAAAAATGTACCCAGGTACAGGTACAGTTACTTCAAAGATACTTTATTTACTTTCCCCTAATATGTCAGAATATACTGGAAGTGAAGCTTTTTATATAAGAATACAAACAAAAGCGAGTTTGATAAATGAACTTGATAGGTGTCAATGCAATGTCCACATCGGAGTTCAGTCCTCACGTGCCTTATCCACCCGCTCCAATTGGTTCGCCAAGGCCACAGCTTCCACTGTTTACCATGTCACCCCGAAACCGACGAAACTCGCTTGTTGACGTTCTTTCCTCGAGAACCGGTGCTGACGTCAACGGGCCCAGAAGACGTCGGCCGCATGACGAAACACATGAGTCAAGTGCATATGCGCCTAACCTTCCCGACGACAAGCAATAAGCTTCAAACTTCTTTTTTTTTTTTTTTCTGTCGTCAGTTGGAGGCAAGTTTCTTTTTTTTTTTTCCTTCGGAACGTTTTCAGTCTTGATAGCTGCAAAATTTGAGTCCGATTGATAGAGTGGAAATTGCATTATATATGCGACGTTACATTGCTTTACGATTGTAATTATATTTTATTTTCAATTGTATTTTATGTTGTACTCATGGCAAAAGAGAGCCACCACGAGGACATACAGGCAACAGACACTGCGCACATCTTTCAAGTTATCTCTTCACTTGCAAAGCTGTCAGAGGAACTTCAAACATGCAATAAAGTCGATTTCAGTTTGAGATGAACGAAGCAGATCTCTAGTTTCCCTAAACGGAATTCCGAAGCGATTCGACAAATTGGCGTCGCTAGAAGGGCATCGCTCATCCACTGTCCGCTCAAATGAACACTGAGCTCGCTAAAGTGTCCTTCTATGAAAAATCGTTCGCTAAAACGTCGTTCGATCAGGTCTACGTCCCAGGTCGTATCCAACTCAACGTTTATCACGGCACATGGTAGTGTGTTAATGCTTCAAGATATATAGTTTCTACCATTTTGACCAAGTGGATAGAAAAGTACCTGTAAAAAGTAACTTCACTTAGTTACAAGTTACTGGAAAATGCACTTAAGATACAGATACAGATACCAAGAAATGAAAACACCTAGGTTTGTACCTGAGGTACAACATAAGTGCCTAGATACCTATTTCCAGTTACTTGTATCTAGGTGCTTTACAACCCTGTGCCTGGGTAAGCATGGCTGCGAGGCTCGATGCCGATTGGTTAACAGGGGGGGTCGTGAGACCAGAGGGGTAGGCAAGGAGGAGCTCAACCACCTGTGCACACTGGGGGAGAGGAGCTCGAGAGTATGGAAGGCTCTGGAAGATCGCCAGGTTTATCAGCCCAATTAGTGGTAGTATCGCTTCATTCTATACACTGTTTCATGAATACTTGGCAAACTGTGGAGGCTGCAACCCGGCCCGGCCCCCCCCCCCCGCCCCCCCCCCGCGACCCGACAAGGGCACTGGAGCAAGGCATGTGATAACACTCCATGGTCAAGGTTGCCGGGGCCTCGTTACCGCCACAGCAACAAGTTTCCACGACAAAATGAAGTTCTGGGCTTCTTTCTCTTTTAACGGCAATTGACCTCGAGTGATTCTATGTACAGGGTGATTCAAGGAGAGGCCAGGCTCTTTAAATCGACTGCAAGCTATATATGTTTAAAAGTTAAAATTTTAGGCTGTGCGTGAAAAACAAAATACAGGTATTTTGTTTTTCATGATTGTTCATTATGACGAAACATGACAGATTTCCTGAATGAAAGACTATGTTAACAGTGATTTATGTATAATACGAGCTTCTTTGTGAGCTAAGAAAGCGGACATTTGTCAAAGTGTGCCATACGAGAAGGTTGTCTTGTCGGTTACGCACCAGGTGCAGGGTATACACGGCGTGCGGACTATAGCCCAGAAAATACACTACTAACATGCAATTACAAGCGAGATTTGACAGCATTGCCAAGTCGAGACAATGACGATGATGGCGCAAAGCTTTTGCAACATGGGCTGGTGTCAAGGGTACTAGATGACCAGAAATTAATACGGTGCTGGTGGTAAGGACAGTACTTGCGAGGTCATCGAAGCAAGAGTGGACAGCGCAAAGCTTTGGCACTATTGGGCTAATGCCGCAGGTACTAATTAACCAGATAGGAAAATGGTTATGCCGTAGTACAAAAATAAAATGGCACAAATGGCATCTCCCATTAAAATATACAAATAGATGAGTTATTTTCAGGCTCTACCCCCGATGGGCGCAAGGGCAAACATCAGGATGTAAATATTGCCCCTCATCAATTGTAATGCTTTTCTTACATTTACAGGGTGTTCCAAAGAAAAAGTTTACAAGGTTTTCTTCACTGCAAAATTTAAACAGGCATGACCGAGCGCTCAGTCTCCGCCAAAAGGTAGCGCTAGAGGTCTTAACTAGGTGCCAAGGTTTCCGCACAAACCGACATGTTATTCAAAAGTTGTAATTGATTTTCTGAAAATTTCAATAAGAAAATGGGGTCCATTTTTTCTCGTTTCCGGTTTCTGGCGCCGTAGAGCGCCATGTATTCGAGAGCTCTGTCGGCCGCCATGTTCCCATTGACATTTTTAGAAAATCACTGTCAAGTAAAATTTTGGTTTTGCGCTGAAACTTTGGCATCTGGTTTGGACCTTTAGCACTACCTTGGTGCGGAGAATGAGCGTTCAACAGTGCATAGTTTATTTTTGGAATAAAAAAAAATACTAATTTTTTTTTTTTTTTTTTGTGACACCCTGTATATTTAGAGCGTGCCCCCCAAAAATTTACAGCGTTTTGACTAGGGGTGTCGCGAACCGGCCCGAGGTTCGAGTTCAACCAGGTTCGACATTTTCGACCTTTTTGTGGAAGTTTCGACGAACCTTGTATTGAGGTTCGACTCGTGTGCGCATGCGCGACAGGCTGGCTTGTTGGCTTCGGATTGGACGGTAATGGCTAAGGGACGAATTAAGGGCACCGCTGATTGGTTATTTCAGTTAATACGGTACAAAAAAAATTAAGTTATTAACTTCTTCAGTGATTAGAATTGGTTTCTTTTAATTGCAACTGTTCATAAAATAAAATAACCCTTGGCATAAAAATAAATTCTCCAAAACTAGACAAGCTTGTATCAAGGTCTGGCCACACTGTCCGTCAAGTCGAACCGTCGAATCTCGCGAAAAGTTTCGAAGGTTCGTCAAACCGGTTCGACCCAGTCGAACCCCGAAGGTTCGACCTAAAAATCTGAAGCAATGGTGAGGGTGCAGGCTAGCTGGTGTAAATTTTAGCATAGTTGTAAACCCGAGACTGGGGATACGGACAAGGGACAAAACACAGAATTACACGGACTTCGTTCGTGTCGTTCTGTGTTTTGTCCCTTGTTTATATCCCCAGTCTCGGGTTTACAACTATGCTAAAAATCTGGTTCGACAAAAGTTCGCGACACCCCTAGTTTTGACTGACAATGTCCCGTATTACCATCGGCGATTATACAAACTCGTGAGCAAAGTTAGAAAAGGTGGCACTCGTAAGTAGTACTACAAAGTCTTTCTCGACCAGACATAAAATTCAGGAACTTGATATATTTCTTTCTTTTTAAATAATAAGCTTTGCAAACGTTTTAGACTGTGTGTTTGGATGAATCGACTCGCAGCTACATATCTTTAGAGAAAAAACAAATGCCAAAAAAGAAAAATATCAGTCTCGAAAATGTGCAGCCGTCTGCGATTGCAGGGTGGTTTAACGAAACACCTTTTCACTTCCGGCAAGCCTTGTTCCGCCACGCTGATGAATGGCGTCTGCCACTTTCCCTGCTACTTTGTGTGGAAATGCTTAGTTACTGGGGCAGTTTTTGGTGTCTGTGAAACGTATGAACGTGGCGAGCGGCTCCATTGACAACGGTATTCGTTAGATACGGCCGGGGTTGTGTTTGGGCCACGTAAACCCACTTTTTTCTTTTCCGAATCATTCCGGCGGCCAAAGGACCGACCTCTCGATCGCCGGCTTCCCTTATTAAGTACTAATGAAGACTGCTATACATAGAATACCAGCCAACGCTCTTTTATGCTGCCGACTCCTCCGACTGTTGTACAGGTGTGTATTATTCGTGCACACCTGTACAATTATTTTTGTTTTGATTTTCTCTTGTTATAGTTCTACCTTATTCTCATTCTGAAGAAAAAATAACAAAAAAATAAGATGAAGGGGAAACAAAACCCGGTATAATTGTATATAGCTATGATATTTCCATTATAATTGTATTCCTATGATATTTCCACCTTTGAAAAAAAGAAAGGGCTATCCGTCACTTAAATGATTTCAATATAGAGAGGACACCCATTTGGTAAATTAATGAAAAAAATGAAGGAAAACATTTAAATTTTACAGAAACAAAGTCAAGAACAAGGCTTAACATCCTGTTCTCATCTTGAAACTCTCCTGTTCGACAACTCCAGGTAATAGCACTAAAAAAAAAAATACATTAACAAAAAAAAAATTACCCTCTATGTTTTAAAAAGAAAAAGCACAAACATGAATAAAGGTTGCTGATCAGGCCCCCTCCCTTAGCCAGGGTACTGCTTTAACCATCTAGTTTTCTTCTCCCCTTGAATTAGTTTTTATTTCTCAAAAATAAAATTTGGTTAACTTGCCACCCAATTCTTTTCTTTATAATCAGCTTTAAATCTGTTGTGCCTTTTCGGGCAGTACCTACAGAGGTATATTATTTTATAGTTATTTTTCTTCCTCGCCCCAATTTATGGTGCAGTTGACCACGAAGCAAAAGAACTCTAGCGGGCTGGAAAACACACTCTCCGCACGTTGAATAACGTGGGGTAAAAGTTCATCAACGTGGAGTCTGGCAAGATTTTAAACCGGAAGTACGTCGCGTGAAAGCGCCCCATGGTGTGCGGCCAAGACAGCCCGCAGCAGTCTCGGGCCTAAAAGCAAGATCAGAGGTAGGGCTTGAAGCCGTGCACGAGGTGGTAGGCACTGAAGCAGCCCCTGTTGATGCAGAGGACGGCCCCGCACTTGCTGCACTGGTGCACCGAGCGCCTCTGCCGCTTCATCTTTTTTTTTTGTGTATATTAAAGGGATACTGAATCAACGCTTAAAATACACCTCTCATGTTGAGAAACAAGTTAAACACGATCAACTCTATCTGTTAATGACAATTGCACGCTTGTATTTTGAACGGACGGCTACATTTTTCGTTTCAAAGGGCCGATTCCAGTGAGCACTCGAAGATAAGCTTTCGGAGAGCGCGACGAATCGCGGGAGATGCGACGTCAACTGGCCCAGCACGGGCAAAGCTGCTTGGGGGCTGGCGTGGTTACGAGCTCCACCACTTGGTGTCGTCAACGCGGTATTGCCTGGCCGTTATAGTTGCCCCTCCCCTCCCCAGTTCGATAGGGCTCGCATGCAAGCCAGCTTGCCGCCGTACTTCCGCGTAGCAGCGCTGCTTTTAAGGTCAGGGCAACGTGACGAGGTTCGCTTTTTTCCTTTTAAATAATGTCTGGGTGTCTTTTCGAGCAAAAGATTAGCGTCTCTGTAGTGTGGCCAGAATGCGGTTGACAGTTATGCGATAAAATAGGTGCTCGACTTTTGTTGCAGTATCACTTTAAGGCAGGGGTCTCAAACTCATTTGAGTGTGGGGGCCAGATAGCTCACCCCTGAAATGTCGAGGGCCAACGTAAAAGTTAAAAAACTCGATGCTGCTTTACTTTGCAAGGCAGCTAAGTCTTTCGGCGACACCAAGAGAAGCATTTTAACAGTGCCGTCTTTAGCTATGTTTTCTTCATACTGCTATTTTAAGTTCATACTATCGTGATTACAATATTTAAAATAGCAGCATTCCGCCAACGCGCCGCCATTTTTCAACAGAACTAGAAACCAAGCACGCAATTGTTATTCTTCGCTCAATTCAATTTAGAATTATATCTGACCCCAGTAAGTCTCGAAAAAAAGTCCTTTCCTGCGGTACTTTTTGCTTTCCTGACAATTCTTATAGCAGAACTACTATAAAATGCGTTTGTCTTTACGGTATGCAAGACAAAACAATTTTCAATCTGAGAGAAAACAGATTATGGCCAAGTATGAAATGAACGGACGAGAAGAGGTAATTATTCCTATGCCTGCGTGCACTTGAGGCATAGGAACTGGAGTTTGCAGTCGCGGAACACTTGCGGGCTGCATCCAAAGAGTCCCAAGCCACATTTAAGGCGTTGCCAGCAGTATGGGTTCATCGGGACCACCTGCGTCAGTGTCTATGCCCCGCTGTTCTGAAGCGGCTTGAACGTTCTTGCCTCTAGATTATTATATCAAGTCTATGGCAAATAAAGGGGAGGAAATCTTCAGTCATGTCAGCCTTTTTGTCAAGCATGCAAGTAGTCATCGGTCTCCGCTGGTTAACTGGAAGCAGCAAGGTTGTTTTTATGGAACAAGGGACATGACAACTTTGAACGCTTTATAATCTCGTTCACTTTTCAATATTTGGGAATAATTTGAATTTCCACACAAGCTCTCCACCTAGACCTGATGCACCAGGATTAAAATTTTAAATTTCCAGATTACCAGATATCTTTCAAAGCTGCCGATCCACACTGGGTAAGGGTAAAAAAGGAGGTATCAATATATTGCAGCCGTATTTGAGAAATTTTTAAAGGACTGGCACTACAAACCAATAGTACTCGAGGGCTTCTGGTTGGTGTCACCTTGAACATTTGTATGTGTGGCACCTTGGTCACACAGATCAGTGAGCCAAATGCTCTTTCCAATTCATATACTGTAAAACACCGAGCATCCGCCCATTCTGCGAGAAGCACCCAATTTTGTAACATTCGGAAAATACGTAAAGGACATGTCACTTATGTGTTCTTCACCTAAAGAGAGCCCATCCCCCAGTTTTGTATAATTATCTCCACATTTTGAGTGGACCAAAATCTAACCCAGGGGCATTAGGCCTTTGGTCCCACCGTGGCCATCTTGAATCCACAAAATGCTTTTGAATTTATTAAAAGAAATCTAGAAAGACATGCTCAAAAGTAGCTTTGAGTATTCCTGTTGTCCTTGAGGATTGTGGGGAAAGCTTTTATAGTCTGGTTAATGAAATAATTAATGAGTAAATATTGCCACGGGCTTCTCGGTTTTCTCCTCCAACGCTAAAGTTAGGAAGGCAATTTTACATTGCACACTCAGTGCTGTAATAGAAAAATGGACGAGAGCTCTTCTGAAAATTTTGTTTCAGTGCGATTTAAAAAAGGAAACAATTGTATCACAAAACATTTTACTTTTAAAAACAACTTTAGAATTCCGTACTTGAGTACAGAATTTTTGAAGAAAGCTCTTGTCTATTTCTTATAATAAATATGCTGCAAAAAATGATAAAAAATGTATTAAAAAACTATAGAAGAGAAAAAATGAGGAATTATTGCTTGTGGCAATATTTACTCATTATTAAATAATTAACCTAAGATTATAATTGCTTGCTCGAAAATCCCCAGGAAATATGTAACCAAAGCTACCCTTAAGTTTGTGTTTTTACATTTCATTCAATAAATTAAAAACTGTTTTGTAGCCATCCAAGATGGCCACAATGAAACCAGAGCCTTAATGCAACAGTTTTTAAAATTTTGTCACAAATAAGATAAAACATCCAGGACACTCGGAAAGCTGCCGTGGGAAAGCAAACTCCGAGTACCAAGAAAATGAAGAGGCGTTCATTATTTGCTTCCAACATTTTTAATGAAGCGGAGGGCATCCCGCAACATTTCCATGACTGCCAACAACAAATCACCGCAGTTCATGTTATGAAAGACGTCCTGCGACAAGTTGCTGCATCTTCGGAGAGCAGCACCAACCTCAACGATTGCCTTTCAAAGCAACAAGTACTTTGTTAAATACAGTTCTGTAGGAGTATTGAAACAATTGTAGACTGTACATTCAACAACTTTCTTCATTAAATACAGCGTTCCATGGTACATTGGTGTGCAACTTTTGGTAAACATATGACATGGACAGCTAACATGCATTAGCTCCTCTGCATTTTAGCCGACACGTCGCGGAAAACCATTAAAACTCCCAGTTACGTGGCTGTGTCCGTCAGCTCCTCGGACAATATGCAAGGCGCTGAAAAAGGCACAAGCGAGAGCACAGGAGTGGTGCCAACCTCCTAGCAGTCGGACAGGGCTTAATTAATGCGGCTTGACCGTGCAATGGAGCGGTCACAAGCGATGCAGTACCATTTGATTTGATTGGGAGATGTCTAGTCTGGCCCTCAAACATTTGCAAAGAGAACGCAGGGTTAATGTTAATCTAGCTTATGTACACAATCTAAAATACACAAAGGCACCCCATCTGCGAAAAATGCACCCACAACCTTCGCTTGCCATAGCAGGGGAGGCACTCCATTAACGGCAAGAGGCGAGCATTGACTAGTAGTGTGCGAGGAACATTTTGGTAGCTTGCGACGCGGCCCCACGGGGGTTCGGGGGGAAAAAGGGAGGAGGGCTGTGCCGACGTCTGCAGAAAAAGCGGCGGCGGTGGGACGAGGAAGGCCACCGTGTTTTCCGTCGGAGGCAAGCTTCCGCTGGGTCCCAGAGCTGTTTTCTCTGTGCAAGGCTTCCCTTTTCAAGTCTTTTTCACCTGCTGTTGTACCTGGAAACATCCATTCTTTTGTGAGTGGATATTCCTTGCTCACAGGCCAAGTGCATCCAGTGTTTTAGTTCCTAGAGCTGCGAGTCAAGCCAGTCGTAGTGGACCGATGCTTTATAGAAAAAGAAGTTAGCACTACAAACACTCTGGATGTTTGTCTTTCTGGCAACACATAGTAAAACGTGCATGAGGAAATAACTTGCTCATAAAAGTGAGCTGGAAGCAGCAAAGGAACTGGAGAATCTAGACAGCCTGCGTAGCATTGCAGGGTACAGACATGCACGGCAGGGAAGCTACAGTGGAATGAATTGGGATCTGCGCCTTTGGCAACAGCAGGCACAGGTCACCGCATGTAGGAGTGATGGTTCCCATGCACGCTTGCCACATGCTTCCTTGTATGCGCATCTGGGGAGTGCATGCATAGAACGTCTCATGCAACCATAAGGTTCCATTTACACCTGCATATGAGGCATTCTCCAAACTCTAGCAGTGTTGCTAATTTAATAATTTTCCCGCTAACATTAGCAATTTTCAGTGTCATCCAGCGGGAGAAACTGCTGTTTCGCAGGTGGCAGGATTTTTACCGATTTTCAAGTGCCATAGCGTGTTTTCTTCCACACTTTCCATTTATTTATCACTAATAGCTTAAGTTTGTGGTAAGACAAGGGTCGTCATCTTTGCTTACTCTCAGAAAAATTTTAGTTAGCGAGAGTAATGCTTGCAATGTCATTGAGATATTATGGCAGTAAACAATGGGACAGGCAGTGAACTGATCTGAGCATGAATTAATGCAATTTCAAAGTCTGCCAGATAAAACACGCCCAATAAAAGTGCACTGAAATTCAGAAAAAAAAGAGCTGTAGCATCCTAAATAAATTTCAAGGACGGTCAAGAACGGCATATGAATCTGGTCCGTACGCCTTTGAACTGCCACCAAATGTTGAACCAAAGATCTTACAATAGAGGTGCATGTTGTCAGGTATGGCAACACACCTGGAACCAGCAATAACAGCAAAATGGAGCAGTGAACATTGTTCTGTGCATGAAAGTGGTTAGAGTCAAAAAGAAGAGCTTTCTTTTAAAGGTTCATTCATTATACTCTTCCTAAACTAATTATAGCAGTGAATTGTATTAAAAAATCTATTTTTGCTTCGCGGCTTAAGTTTAGCATTTTTTCGGGATTCCCATTGTGGGTTCTTGAGTCGGCAATACTGCGCTCTACGTAACAAAAGCTGCAAGTACACAATTATGTCATAAACCAATCCTATGAAGTAGCGTAAAACATTTTTTAAGGTGTGCATGTATTTTAGTATTTCCCTAATTAACTGGTCCTTATTCAGGTATGTTGAGTTGCGGCAGAGGGTGGATTACACCTTATTCACTATATTTGTCCAGTAAAATCCAGTAAAGGCATAAAAGCCACGGCAGGCATCCGTCTGGTCAGGCTTTGCTTCTGACCGTTTTGTCTAGGGCTGCGCCCAGTTACTGCCGGTATCACATTTTACGTTGTCTCTGGACACATGCTTGGTGCGAACAAGCTGTACATTTACTTCTTTTTCAGCGGTATCTTTCATTAAAGGGTTGGTGTTAAAAGTTTAAGAAATGATCAGATATAAAACAACCCATAAAGTGGCAGAGCCACAACAAAGTGCAATGAAGCCGATTCCATAGTAATTAGGGCTTTCATATCCACACTTTAATTTCCGCCTTCTAGAGCCTTTGGTTAAAATCTCGCACCGCAACTGGCAAAGCCTAGCCAAAAGCCGCTGCAGTCTTTCGAGCCGTCCAGCTCGAAGCGGGGTGAGTGGCACGAACCGCAGTTAGGCGTGGGGCGGGACAGCGCGTTGCAAGGGGAGGGGGGGCAAGCCAAAAGAAGCCTCTCACCTGGTGGGCAGAGTGGCCGGCGCCGTGCCGCACTACTCTATCGTGAACATCCTGAAGGGAAGCAACACCAGTTGGCACCTCAACCAAAACAACAAAGCAGGGCAGAAACAAAAGGGGAGGCATGCACTGCATGGCTGGCGCACGGGGCACAGCACTACACTAACGCCCACCACAGCAGCCAGCTTGGCCTGGCGCGCCCCTGCAACCAGGCACCGGAAGTGCTCCGCGAAAAAACGTGCGTCGTCCAGGCCGAAAGCTTTGACGTTGCTTCTATCGATTAGCGATACGAGAAAGGCCAAAACCAACAGATCTACGCACGAGCCGAGAACATTGTAGATTTTAATTAACTTTCCCTTTTACGTCATACGAGGTGCACTCATATTTTGGTTTTCAGACCCTATTCCAATTTAGAGAATTTGAGGCACACTGTTGAGCATTTGCATATTATGGTTTTATAATATGTATCAATTACTGTTGAGATCTTTGCTGTGCTTGTTTACACTGGACGAAAAGGCAACAAATGTACACTTCTTAAAATACTGCACCAGGCACTAAGTACTCAGCGAAGGACGTTCTGATGCCACACTTTTCGAGACTTACACTGAGATTGGCAGCAACGTGCTCAAAGGTTAAAACACTAAATTTGAAAGTTTGAAGCATAGTCGACTTCACATAGTCCTTTTTCGTGCCACCCAAGAATGGTAGTATGTTACAGTGGAAGGGTAGACCACCCAACTTTGGGCAGTTCTGTGCTAGTTTCATAATCCCCTCTCCAAAATTTCTACAGTGCCACTGTCTATGCAAGTCACTGTTTGCCCATTTAAAAAGGTGATCTAACTGTGCTCCCCTCCCAACGATATAGGACAATATATTCAAGAACCGTGGGCGTTTTTTTTTTTAACGCAGAACATGAGACAGGGCTGGGTTTCATGAGAAAAGCGACATGTTACACTCTAGTTACACTCGACTACTGTTCCATCGTTTTCAATTATAAATTCCGGATCCACTTCGATTGCAACATCAAGCAACACTGTGATATAACGCAACGTAAAGTGACATCATGATCGAATTGGATACCGAATTTACCGTCGAAGACAGTGAAGCGGTGAGACACGCTAGGTGCATCCACGTGGCTGCCACGAGATTGATCACCAAAAAATGCTGTAAGGCCCACTGTAAACGCTAGAAGCAGCGGCAGAATGAAAGCGTGCCTCAGCCGACCACCTTCGTCCCAGTGTCTGGAACATATCCGATAAACTCGGAGACGCAACTAAGAATCTAGTTGCAAATGAGTGCAAGCACATGCTGCGTGTGGTTGTGCAAGCACAGAGAGACAAGAGAGGCCTAACCCTTCCTAGTCAATTGTAGCAAACCCAAAGAAAATCCTCGCACAACCAAGCGCAGCCCGTGCCCAACTTGTTCGCAACACGTTCTGCGCATCTCCGAGCTGTTCGGATACGATCGGACACAATCGCTTATTCTAGCGAAGGGTGCTCGCTCCCGCCGTTCTATTCCATACTCCCCGCTTCAACCCACATTTGCCGCTGCAGAGAACAGTACGGTGTTCGCAAGCTCCAACTGCACGAGCCCAGAGGACATGGTCCAAGAGGTGTCCCTGGCATTTGTGTGTAACATTACGACGTCTGGGAGACGTCCACGGGACTGCGCGTGCCATTAGAGACACCGGCAGTGGCCGGTAGGTGTTGCGGAAAAAGTTGCGAGCGGAAAGCGGGGGGCACTTGCCTCTTGAAGCTGAAGCGGCGTCCCGCGAGGGTTCCCCCCGATGCCCCGAGGGGCATGGAGTGCATGACGGTGCGGTACATGTTCATGGCCACAATGAGCACGCAGAGCAGCATGGGCCCAAACAGGGCACCCTGGAAGCCCAGGCAAAAGACGCCGCCCGCTATCGCCAGCCCCGTCAGGAACGGGTGGCCGCCCCTGCAAGCACGCAAGGTCGGGGTCAGCCTCACGGACAGGCAGGCACTGCACCTCGGCAGAACTCGCTCGTAAGTTTGCTCGGCCGCCTTCTCACCCCAGGACGCGAGGAGGGGGTGAGCGAGTTCACGAGCCTCAGAAACTCGCGACATTGAGCGAAAGCTACGAGTTTGGCGAGGGGTCCAGTCAGGTGAGGGTGGCCATGAGGGAAAAGGAGTTGCGAGCTTGTCTCTCGTCGTCAGCTTGAGTGTAAGGCAATGGCTATATTTTCATTCTGAACTGGTTGCGAGTTCCACCTTACATGCCGGTCTCTGGCTGGCATACAGACTCTACAGCGGAGGACATCCTGGAGGGTTTCAAGTATTCACGGGGCCAACTTGTTACGGGTGCAAATGCAGAAATGAGCGAGAAAACTTGCGCATTCTTCCATGAAGAATATTTGCAAACAGTGCCACTGCCTTATGTTTCGAGCGTGCTGGTCAAGACAGGTCTCTTGAAGAGCTACTCGCAACTCCAACATACAATTTTTCTTTTAATGTTGCGAAAGATGGAAAATTATTCCGAGGCATCATCTTACAAACTTGAGAATGGTATATTTGCGTGGAAAACAAATAATTTTAAAAGGTCAGGTTTTAAACTCTCGCTCATGTCAATGACGTCGACGGTGAAATAGTGGACTTCTTGCCTCTATGAATGGCTTCGAACCGAAAGTGCCGTTAACTTCCCTTCTCTTGCATCGATCATGGGCAGGTTCCCTAGCCAACCACGTGCATATTTCGCTCTTCACTTGCAGCATGTCCTTTCCACGTAAAGAGAACACACTATTTTTCAGTTAGGGTTAATTTTTTCAGCAGAGTTTTACTTTGTGCAGAGTTTTACCGAGCTGATGCCAAAGTCCCTCTCAAAGTCACAGCTACTGAGCACCATCATACTGAAAGTAAGAAGAAAAAACTGCAAGACGGCTGACACTTCATCACTGGCACTTCCAGCTCCTGAGTTTTTATTTTCCGAGTCAGCGGCGCAGTGCGTTTGCAGCCAGGATAACAACATCCAATGCATCCAAAAAGGAGGATGCAAATTCTTGACGGGCTCTTTCTCGCACAAGCAAATGTTTTCAACGATGCAAAGTTTTCTAGGTTACACCCGCCTAAAGTGTATCAGACAAAAGAATTAAAAAAAATTGGGGGTTGCTTAAGCTTTCCTTTTAAGTGCGGACCGCGACAGCTAAACAATAAACCACTGCTCATTCCCAAGCCACGCAAGCGTCTCTGCGTGACCTAGTCAGTAGCGTGTCTGGCTCGCAACTGAAGGGTTGTGGGTTCGGGTCCCGCCCTAAATTCTGCAAATTTTTTTTTTAAGGCAAACAAATTACTTTATAAAGTTAAATCATTCGAGACTTGCGGTGACCTTTCATTTGCATTACATGTCATGTTTTAGTCACTTTAATTCCACATGTGACTTCACGTGAGCGTTACGGGTTGTTTGGAATTCCCGCGCGAGGTCATGTGGCTGTGACGTCATGACCCTATTGACCAATCCGGATTCCCCAATCACGACGCTGCCGACACCGACTTTTCTGTGAGATGAGCTCCTTAACGCTGTCGTGTTAAAAGAAAAGATATTTGCATTGTCAGTGGACCTTTAACGGAAACTCTGGTCAAATGTTTAGAGTCAGCGATTTTGATACAAGTTTTATCATGTATTAGATACTCTCCAAAGCATCTTGCCAAAATAATTATTTGGGGGAAAAAAAAGTTAAAATTGACACATTCACGTGCATTGACAGATTCACGACTTGTAGCTGCTATACTGGCAACATTGAGCAGGAGCAGCACATGACGGATATGGCGGGAGTGCTGGTTTTACTGGTAACAATGCAAGAACGGAAGAAAAACAAAAAATGACCTCATCTCCACGTGGTGAAAGATGTCGATTGGGGCGAAGCTCTGGTGGTGCTGATGATACTGATTTCTTTCATATGTAGTGCTGATGGTGCAGATTTTTTTTATTGCTCATAGGTAGTGCTGAGTTCCGGGTTGCATTTCGACTTCATTATTACCGCTTTATGGTCGGTGAAATGCAGAGCCAGTGGTTCTTCTAGCAAATCAGCTTGGATCCACTAGAAGCCGAGGGAACGCATCTCCACTGCTTAAGACAACGGTCCATGTCAGAAAGAGAATGTGTGGTATGGAACATGGTTATATACGCATTTGAGCATTAGACCACAGCGCCCTGTCGTCTATAAACATTGAGCCAATGCATGCGAAGTTTAAGGCGATTATATACACATTTGACCGCAGCGCCCTCTCCAGTATAGACGTTAAGCGGCTACATGCAACGTTTCATCCATGATATCCCCAGCTCTTGAGTTACTACCACATCTCAGAGCCCCCTACTCGTCTCGCAATCGTGGCCGAGTGGTTAAGGCGATGGACTAGAAATCCATTGGGGTCTCTCCGCACAGGTTCAAATCCTGTCGACTGCGCAAACATTTTTTCTTTTTTTAAGAAGACAGCGCCGTGTTGTTGCAGAAAACGGCGCCGTGTTGTTTGCAGAAAGGTGGCGTCGCTGCGTTTCCATAGGAGCTAAGCCTTTTTCTTTCTTTACTTTTTCCTCAGGCAAGTTTGCTCTTTGCAAATTTTACAAAAAAAATGCACCATCTGTGGGCAATGCTGCACAAAGTCGTAGCGCAATAGGTTAAGAAACCGAATTTTCCGGTCGATTTAGAGAGCCTGGCGTCTCCTTGTTTCACCCTGTAGATAAGGACCTGCCTGTGACCTTCTCAAGTCAGTCACGCTCTCGTTTACTGTTACACCGCCGAATCGCCGCCCACTTTTCTGCTGTCTTTAGGCTCATCCTTTATTTTGTTCGGCACGAGTTCGCCCCAATAAACATTCAGTATCGAACGGGATTTTCGCCGCTTCTGCTCCTGTTGTTCAAGAAAGTATCGCACAAAATTGCCGGGTTACTCAGTTTAATGAGACAAAACTTTGAAGTAATGCTGTGAATTTTTCTATGCTAGGTGGTGCCATTGATCCGTCCATGCATGTGTAACATAATGTAATGTCTGAGGGTGGTGCCATCGATGGCGATATATGTTGTCATGCATGTTTCTGCCTGTACTTCTGCATTTTGTTGGGTTAAAATTACATGATGGGTTTGAGGGATAGCATACACATTAGATATGAGGCATCCTCACGGGCACCAAAGTGCAATCATTCAAACGGTGTCGAGCGAGCGAGAAATAATGTTTACAGCGTGGAAACAAAATGCTTTTTATCATTATGCTTTCAGGAACAGCATGCAAGACACGCCCATAATTCGCTATGCACTTTGTGCACAACTTTTTGGCCTATTTGCAAAGGGTCTGTTTGGGCAAAACTAGAAATGGGCGCCTGCATGCACAAGCCCGGCAGACTTGCCCCTTGATCTCGCTGTAGATGGCGCAGTCCACGAAGGAGGTGGGTGCCAGCTGGCACAGCAGCATGCAGAGGGCCTTGACCACCTGGCCCTGGACCAGCCAGAGCTCGAGCACCGCCGGCAGGCAGGCCCAGTAGGCCCCAATGAAGGGCACCGCCCCAAACAGGGAGGCCAGCGCTGAAACCACAACACGTGCATCACTCCTCCGTTTGAGCGCGTTGCCCGCCGCAACACGGGAGAGTCAGGGAAGGAGGAAGGGCGGAAACGGGGCTCGAATTAGAGTCGACGGAGGCACTCGCTAAGCCTACTTCGGCCAAATTCATAAAGTTCTCTGCTTGCTGTGACTGGTGGTTTACACCTCTCCATCATTTGGTGCACTAAACTGGAAAGACCAGACCTATAAATGCTAAATTGAAAAGAGTGAGGTTTGCAAGACTGCGTCGTCAGACTCGTGGCTATTGGTTCTTTGCGGTGCACCGGTGCGCGATAGGAAGTGCACTCTACGGGGCGAATTCATTGCTATCAACACTTCGGAAAGTGCACTCTTAAGAAAAAGGGTCTATATAGTCCTCCTAAAAGGAGGAACGCTCTTGACACATATGTTCCTTCTGAAAGGGAAAAACGTTCATCCCTGAAAGCTGGAGGCAAAGTTCCTCCGTCGACTGCATCTTATTATGGTGGCCCCCAATCGAGCAAATCGAGCTCAATAAGGCTTAACGAGGATGCTACGTCTATTGTACGAGGCGAGAGGAGCAGCAAATAAATGCGTAACACAAGCTTTCCGCGAACTGTATTTATTTACAGCTTTCCGCGCAGGTGAAGAAACTTGTATTTCGAAAGCAGTCACTCAGTCTTCTCATCATTAGCACTGCAATGTTAAACAGAGACAACCGGTACCCAGTTACTTAGCGCACTTTGTCTTGCCTTTGCTATTTCTCGAGCCACAATTCCTTCATCAACTGCACATCATGGAGGAGTGGTAAACCATTCGCGAAACCAAAAGCCGCTCTCAAAAAGAGAAAATTCGAAGCACCCTAGCTGCACTGTAGCGACTAATTATGGTGAAGCGTAAAAGAAGGTTAAATCACTTGCCACCAGATGGCAGGGTAAAGCAGAGTAATTGTAAGTAGCTAGGTAGGTGGTGCTAAGTACTGCCCAATTCGTGTGCTTAAAAAAAAATGTTTATTTGACATTACGCTTTGGGCCCTTCAGGCACCTTCATTATACACACATGTAAATATATTATGCATACCACTACAGTAAGTTACAGGCCAAGAAGATAGCGACAAATGCCCCTCAAAGGGATTCATATATCCCTCCGCCACCTCCGCATCCAATAGCGTCCCATCGTTTCCGTGACGTCGTAGCCAACGCGGGAGGGGGTTTTGCCTTCCTGTAAATATTTGCGTTTTCTTTCGACTTTGACTTAGCGTTGTGGAAGCCACGAGAGGGAGATTAGAATTTTCCCCCTCCGATGGAAACAAAAACGACTTTGGGGGGTTAGCTTCCCCCTCTGATGGATATAAAGGTCACTTTCTTAAAAGGTGGGGGTCGGAGACCAGTTGGACATCACTCTGTAGCCATTATCTATTCATTGAAGCGGAACAAGGGGCATTTCCAGGAAACTATTCTTTCGACTGCGGATAGATTTGAAACGGGCGCATCACGCTTATGGGAGGAGCTCTCCTACCTTCTTGACTTGTAACCGACTATAGCACCAGCTGAACATATACATTGAGCGCAGACACATACGCGGCGCAACAAACATCGATACAACAGCACACTAACCCGATAACTACTTCTGAAATCTGCGTTTCCGCCTTTTATACTGGTCGTTCTCAAGGTATGAATTTTCTCGATGACCACCTAAGCAATAAATAATATCCCCAGCATGTTCATTATTTTCAGGAATGACCTCTGAGAGTATTTTGAAAGGCTGAGGGGATGAATCTCTTAGTAAAAAGTAAATGCTCATGCCATACTTATATGAAAGCCAATAAATCAAGCCTCCACTGTGGTTCCAGGCCAGGTGTTTTCTTTGTCTAGAATCAATCTCTGTAAAGGGGATATTCACTTATGTGGAACCACTTGCGTGTACGGCCAATGGCCTGTCGTGATAGAAGCGCAAAAGCGCGCCTCTCAGCCCTCAAGGCACCACCACCTCGAACGGATCACAGGTATCGTTCTCAGATGGTATGTACCACAAAAGAAGCCCGTCAGCGTCCAGCAAGAACGAATCCAATGCGCCAACCACATTACCAGTGGCTTCCCGACGCTGGGCGTTTCCAGCAATACCAGCTGATTGCCCGGCAGCGCGCGCCGCTTGACTCCAATGAGTCTCACTCTCTCAGGAGCCCGTCGATTACTTCTCGACAAAATGGATCGTTCTGCTGAGCTTCTCGTAGCTCTTGTTTGCTAAAGGGGATCCCCACGCCTCCAAAAGAGTTGACATAGTTCACGGTTCCGTCAGAGAGTCCCTGGGGTGCCGGTATCTTGTCGGACTGGGCTGTGCGTGGCTCGGACGCAATCACACATTTTGGCTGAGTTTCTGACGTGGAGGGGTCCGCAACGACCACAACGTTCGTGCTTCCCTTTCTGTAGCGCACCTCATAGTCGTAGCGCCGCAACGTCAAAGCCCATCTCACCAGGCGACCGGCCAGCTCTCAGAAGCGTGCGAGCCATTTCAGAGCGGCGTGGTCGGTCTCAATGATAAAGGTTGTCCCGTTAACGAACATGTCGAACTTACGGAGAGCGAACACTATGGCAAGGCACTCCCGTTCGGTCACGCTGTATCGGGTTTCGGCGAGCGTCAATGATCGGTTAGCAAAGGCGACCGGTCGGAGCGTGCCTTCGTGCTCTTGGAGCAAAACCGCACCGAGTCCCCGGTCACTCGCGTCAGTTTGTATCACGAACGGTCAGTTCAGGTGGGGCAGCTTGAGGTTGGCGGTTGACACGAGAGCATCAGCGAGGCTTCTGAAAGCAGCCTCCTGCTCAGGGCCCCAGCTCCACTTCGCAGACTTCCTCAACAAACGGGTTAAGGGGCCCTGGAGAGCCACGCAACCAGAGGTAAACTGACGACAGAAGTTTATCATTCCGAGGTAGCGACAGAGGGCTAACATCCGTCGGCGACGGATACTTCTGTATAGCCTGGAGTTTTTCGGGGCACGGAGAGACGCCGCCACGGTCGATCGTGAAACCGAGCAAAGAGATACGGGTCTTGGCGATTTGGGCCTTTCTCGGACCAAGGGTCATTCTGGCAGCCCTTAGTCTTTCAAGAACATCCTCCAAATGACGCAGGTGATTGAATGTACAGTGTCACACTGTACATTCGAACCGCGGGATGGGTTCAGTTGCAAGTTCCTTGGCGGGTTGGGGCGCTCATTCTGGGCATCAGGTTGCCCGGTCTGCGCCCATCTGCGCGGCCTCCGGTCCGCGAGGTGGTCCCGATAACGCTGGTTCGCCCGCGCCTCTGTGGAGCATCTCCACAAGCCAAAGGTGTAGGGGTCGAGAGCAATATTGGAGATGTCCCTCGTGTCCGTTCCCCGTGGGTCGGCATAGGCCGCGCACACCTCGGGCTGGCGAGAGCGAGATCCGCTGCTTCCCTTCCACGCGCAGCGCAGCCCTAGGGACTCCGACGGCGGGGGCGGAGGCCGATAGGCGCGCTTTGCGAGGATATTGCCCTGGACGCGGCGGGCTTCGGCGGCAAGCTTGTCCAGAGAGCTGAACCTGCTGCCTCTTAAGTAGGCGGCGAACGTCAGGTGCACCTGCCTGATTACCCACTCCACTCTCTGTGTTCGGGGCGGCAGGGTCAGCTATTAGAAATAGCTCCTGCATTGCCCTGACATACTCGAGGAGCGATTCGTCAGGGTGCCAGGTCCGTCGCTTCAACTCTCGTCGCATCCTGCGCTCATAATTTGTGGGGAGGAATTCCTGGCGAAAAGACACCCGGAATTCGTAGAGAGTGAGCGCATGCTGGCCAGCAAGGCGAAACCAGCGGGCTGCCTGATCGGTCAGGGCGACCAGCAGAATTCGGCCCAGAATTGTCTGGTCAGACATCCCCATGGCCTGCTGGTAGTGAAGCAGGTCCTCCAGGAAGTCAGTTATGCTGACCGTGTCGTCGTACCCCTTATACTTGGGAATGGGGATTTGGACCGCTGTTCGCATGGCTCGTGGTCCTGACAAAACGGACTGCATGGCTCCGGACAGGCCCTCAATAATTCGTGATGCATCTTGCAAAAGCACATCATGACAGCTCTGCTGGCCATCTCCCGAGCAGATTGGTGTGGGCCCACGCAGCGCTGGGGACTCGTCTCGATAAAGGGAGACTCCCGAAACGCTGTTTGGCAAGCGTCTCCGAGTGTAGGCAAGTCAATGAGGTTGCCGACCGCGGTGGCTCCGGTGGGAGCTGCGTCGATATCGCGCGCGGGAAGACTCCCCCTCTGAAGGGGGGGGGGGGGGAGGAGACCATCGCGCGGAGTGCCGAGCCTTTGTGTCGCCGTGTCCAGCCGGGGAAGTAAATGAGCGGCGTGACCGTAGGGCGGTCTGCTCAACTCGGCTGCGGTGTTTCCTTCAAGCGGGGGATGCACGTCGAGAAGAGGCCACGCGGATGGGCCTCTCGCAAAAGGGAGGCCGACAAAGCGTGATCGTGCAGGAGAGCGGCTCGTACAGACACCGAGTCTCGCTGGGGCACTGGGGGAGCGCTCTGACCACAGAGTGATACGCTTACATCACCGGCGGTGTATCCCTCAGGTGGGGGAACTGTGCCGGGCATCGGCTCCACCTGGATGGGTTCTCTCGAGGGAGATGTTGTCAGGGGGCCTTCGGCTGAGGTGGGAACTTCGGAATAGAGTCCGCTAGCCAAGGTCGGCGAAAGGCGCTGGCCTCCGAGGGGAACAATGGCCTGGCCGATGCGTGGTGAGTGCGGGGCAGGAAGGGGGCTGCCCTTGCATAGCCACGTCAGCCAACGTGTCTAGAGGACTGAAGTCAGATCGTCCCATTGACATGGCATGACGAGAACGGAGCGGCCGATACGTCTACGCTAAACCACGACAGCAATTGGTGTCGTGGCCTCACGTTGGGCACCAAAATGTGGAGGTCTCAAAGGGGTGAGGGTATCCGGCAAGGAGGCCGACCACTCAACCTACCACTCCGCAGCGTATCATGCTAAGCGCTGCGGCAGGTTCGACTGTTGACTGCAACCGTTAGCCGGGACTCTCAAAAGGGAGCACAAGGACACGCCGAAGGCAAGGGATAATCGGGCAACAAGGAAGGAACAGACCTTGCCTTGTCGTGCCTTCCTGAGAGCGGGTGCGGAGTTGGGCCGTCGGGGAGCGTCGGGCCACATGTCCGAACAGTTGGATGTCCCCGCGAGCAGTCCCCTCGAGAGGGGCGCAAGGCCCCCCTTTCTCTTTCTCTCTCTCTGCTGGCAGCCTCAGCCTCGGACCCAAAAAGGTCCAACCGCCAGGAGGAGGTTTCACGTGTCCCCTCAAGGTGGGGGGGCACGGGGGGGAGGCATGCGATGCGAGGGTAAGCAGGCAAGATGGCTGCTCCGAGACACGAAACGGGACGCTCCGGCTAGCAGTTGGACAGCTCGGAGTGCTTTTCCCACGGCCATAGGGCCTAGTCAGGGAAGTGGAGCGGGCGGCTCCCACAAGTGGAGGCGATGCTTCACGGACAAAGAGATTGCTTTTCAAATAACTTGAATGCAGTCAAAATCGCGACTTGCGGTAGGTGTTAGTGTACGAAGCTACGCTGTGGTGAGCTTGCTACCGGGAGGGCAGTTTCTCCAGGAATCATAGTATATTTCAGGGGTGGCCAGGCTGACCCGGCCTAAGAGCCGCAAACAAAACCACGAAACTTCCAAGAGCCGGGAGGAGGGGGGGGGGGGGGGGCAAACTTTTGTCGAGAGCAATAAACAAAACTTTAACTACTTTCAATCTATCCGAGTCAAAAGCAGTCCAACTGTATGTAAGGTAGCAGTAGCACAAGACTACCGAACCACGAACTGTCTTTCGATTTAAAACTCGTTCCATTTCTCTTTTCGGGGAAGTGCTCGTATGACCGGGAAAGGGGGGGGGGTCTAGGGGAGAGACACGCGAGTCGCACTTTAACACGCGAAGAGCCGCATGCGGCTCGTGAGCCGCAGCTTGGCCACCTTTGGTATATTTAAACAGCAAAATAAAGGATAGCTTTTTGTTTTGACGGTTTATCCTACCACCCTCCCTTAATGCTAAAATTCCCAACTGGAAATACATACCGTAAAATTTTGTACGAACGCCCACCCAAAATGGAGAGATAAATGGTGAAAAGCATGGGGTGGGAGATCTTTGGGGATGCCACAGCAAAACTTTATCAAAAATTAATGATACACTCTGGGGCACCCGCTAGAAACGATGTGACGCGGGAACTGATACCGCAGATAGCGGACACATCTAATTCGTGTTTCACAATGCGATGAACACGCGGGAATTCGCTACGTACTTCTGTGTCAAGGGGAAGGATACCGCGGGTTGTGGACGCAGCAGATTCGTGTTTCACGGTGCGAAGGACCCGTGAAAACCCATTGAGAACTCGCATCTCACGGGAATGGGTATTGTGGACGCAACAGATTCAAGTTTCATGGTGGAATAAACACGCGGAAACCCTCTACAGACTTGGCTATCACGAAACCGATATTGCGCGCGCAGATCGCGGACAAAAACGCGAGAATCCACAACAAACTCGCATGCCACATGAACAAATACCGCAGATCGCAGATGCAGCAGAATCACATTTAACAATGCAATATACATGTGGCAACAAATCGTGTGTTATGTGAGCCAATATCGCGCGCGGATCGCGGTGAAAAAAGCAGAAACTTGATATGAACTCACTTGTCAGACGTACCGGTACCGCAGATCGCGCTCTTTGATGCGATTCCTGTCGGACATTGTGTGACGTCTGACGGAAATGGGAGGGTGGCCGATGTATCGGAATTTTCATGTTGCAGATATTTACCAGTAAAACGGGATGGGCAATCTCTTGGGGGAAAGCGTCCTTACGGAGTTTTACGGTACTTTCCGTCATATCTCCAAACTGTTCACTCCTTTCCCCAGAGTTCAATTGCTCACGGAGGAGAAAACAGGACATCGCAGATGACAGTCACATTGGCCACTGTACGATAGGAGCTACGGTTCAGACCGCTGTCCCAACATAACCATCCGCACGTCGATCGATTGCATCGTAATCCCTCAAGCGCTCTTAAACTCTTTAATGTAAAGTGGAATGCCAACCTGCGACACCCCGCCCCCTCCGATCACGGCCCGACCAGCGGCATCAATGCCCAACAGTTTACGTCATCTCATCCTGTTGTTACACCACTGATACGTGAACACACGGTCACATCGGCGATAATTCCAGTCTTCAGTACACCAACACTGCCGTTACAACGTTGCTGCTATGTTAATGACACACAGAAATACAGAACCATGTTGATTGTCGGTTGGCACTCGGCATCGGAAAACAGAAGCAAACCTGCCTGTCTCAGATGCAGTTTCTGCGGTTTCCATACGTCCTCAATGTCGAAACGTTGTTCCGCAATCCGAGGCGGCCATCTTAGTCCAGTGTATGTAGTGCTGCTGGTGCTGCTCCAGTACCTCGTTGTTTTTAACAGCTTCGTTTGCTCGTTTGATAAAATTAGTGGTAAAAATGTCAATGCCACTGAAATGTTGTGCAAGTTTGGATTGGGAGACGGAATTACAGGTGGCCTTCACTGCCTCTGAAGCTCAATCAACTCAACAAGAGTTACTAAACAACATGCGTGACATGCTCACAAAACGAAAGCAGTTGAGGCGGGAGGGCAGAAACTGTCTCCCGTCTGCCTGGAGAAGGAGAAAAACGTCTGGAAGACTGCTACCTTTTTCCTCCTGCTGCTGCTACCACTGCTAACTTTTTTTCTTAGAGTGCATGAATATTGCAGTTCATTTCAAAGCGAATTTCGAATAGCGTATTATTCAAACATTAGCGCAACATAAAAACACATCCGCACACATCTGGAGCGCAGAAAAGAAATAATTCACACATTGATTAAAAATTTCTTTTTTCCGTTATTTCTTCTATATTCTGGGGCAGCTAGTTCCACTCAATATTGCAGACTGTAATGGGGAGTTGCAAAAGTGATTAGTGTGACTGTTTGAACCGTGCGAGGACGATTGCGTCCGGAAAACTTGTGACTAGAAAGAAGTAAAAACCGGGTTTTGAGAAAGACAATGCGTGCCAAATGTGCCGGCAGGGCCACCGCTACAAAAATATGGATGCGGTTTCAAACACATTCTGTCGTATGGCGTCCACAGGAGCTTCCGCAACCGAAGCGACGTTGCCGAATTGCGAGCTCACCCGTAGGGATGTAGACCATCTTGACCTCGAAGAGGGTGTGTATGAGCCAGGTATAAAGGCCGTAGAAGGCGGCCATCTTGAAGGAGGCGGCAAAGACCCCGGCAACGGCCTCCTCGACGGCCTCGCCCAGCCTCGAGGCTGAGCCAGGCAGCATGCTGGCAAACAGGTCCAGGGGCTTGTAGCGCTCCCCGCTCGCTCGCAGCAGGTAGAACAGCGCCGTCAGGAACACCACCTGGTGGACAGGGCATGCTTTATGTGGCACCATCGTGACACGATTGCCAACTTTGAATAGCATTCTTAACAAAGCTAGCTCTGATTTAGCCTCAGAAATAGTGAGTTAAGTGTGCCAAGCTCGACCTACACGAATGCAGAGAGCAAGTTGTTTGCTTCTTGCGCGGGAGTTGCGGTGACGTCAGAAAGACGCCGAGCTGATTGACTTTGATTGATAGTGGATGCTAGATGCCTTGAGGTCTACCCACTATTTTCTTTCATTCCGCCAATCAGAGCTCAGCATTTTGACTTCATCGCAACACCTATGCAGGAAGCAGACAAGCCAAGAAAGGCAATACTTCATATAAGGTGGTGAGCCCCATCGCCATCATGGCTGTTTGTTGACATTTGCCTCTTTTGGTATCCGTATCACGCCGATTCTCTCGCGTCTACGGTCTCATATCTGCTGTTCTAAGATGGAAGAACAAAAATATTCGACTAGGAGGCATTATTTAAACGAAAGGCCATCACGCTGGAGTGAAAAGATAACAACGGAGCAGCGCGGCGTAGTCTCGCAATCCCAGCGACCAGACAAAGTTGTTTCAAAGGGCACCCTCCCAGTGGAGACGGTTGCACACTTGTACAAGCGCAAGAAGTGCGGCACCTAAAACGCTTTAGATGAAATCAAGGGTTATCTCTCTGGACAACAGCGACTAGTGTACAATATTTATTTTTGTATTGGCGCGCGTTTCACAAAATCCGTTCTATAAGGTATGTGTTCAACCTTCATTGTTTTACCTGTGTGGTAGAATCGGCAGCAATTTACTTTTTGAATACTGTAAACGACTTATTTCACGATTCAGGTCAAAGCTGAAGTTTTTGGAATAATTTGCTGTTTCTAATTTTTGCGACGCGGTGGGATCTCAATATAGATTCCAAAGTGTTTGCATTTTACCAAAATTGTTTGTGGGACCTATTTTTCGCGAATTGTAGGTGATTCGCAAAAATTCAGTCCTCGCAAAAATTAAGTCGTTTCCAGTATCTGGGAGCTAAATCTGACTGCGCGTTAGATTTGGCTGCGCATTAGAATCGTGTAAACATGATATTTTGCCTGCTACAGAACCTGCTACAAAAAGTCAAATGCCGCTTCCATCGCTGCTTAGGGAATCAAACTCAAATCTTGCGGTGGTGCGTGTTGCCGCAGTGGAAGTTGGCCAGCTGCCAAGAGCATTTGGGACAACAAAAAAGAAAATGGAAGAGGCAGCACAGAGGATGCCGAGATGCTGGAGACGCTTCGAAAAGACTTTGCCAGGAGCGAAAAACTGCAGAAACGAAAAGAAAGAAAACATTTGCCGCACTGCGTTAATGCACGGTACAGTCGCAATGACAGCTGCGTCACGGCCAAGTTGGTGGGCATTGGCATTGCGTTCACGCACTGTGGTGACCCAAGGCGTTCGGAACAAACTAGACATCTGAGAAGATAAGGGTGGCTGCGAGGTCAAAGAATGTTACCTTCGGCCGACGTTTTGATGTATGTGTAGCTTTTGTTAGTTCAAAATGATTCATTGTAGTTTTTTTTTGTTTTTTTTTAAACATTGTTGTGGCTGCTAAGTCAAGACGTGTCCCCTTGGTGCCTTTGTTTTGGAGTGTTTTTTATGGTGACGATTTTGGGATCAGGATGTATAAAAGGAGGGACAAACGAATAAAGTGGTTAGCTGTGTTTGAGACGTCGTCGTGTTTCTTCCACCCAGTCTCAGGTGGTCTAAAAAAATGGTAAACTTACACCAGCTTGCCTGCGCCCTAACTGTTTTTTCATTAGACATCTGACCATTTTGTTCCCATTGCTTTCGTTTCTTTTTGGTATGGGGTACATGTCTTGCCTCCACCCTAGAATGCGATACAAACGGGTGTTCTGCACGTGTGAACATCACATTCACTAACCCAGTACAAGGTGCTATTCGGAGTCTGCCTGTCATATTTTACCGTAGCCAGGTCCAGAATTTGTAAAATGGAAAGAGGTCATGGGCTTTCCGTATAAAACATTTAGCGACCTCAGTTTTCTTTCATCCTCTCTCTCTGTTTAGTGTGCTCTTTTCTCGCGGAACGTAGGTTACCCTTAACTTCCTCAGAATGGCCGTTTCTCTTCGGAAAAATTAGGCTTACTGAATGTGTTATCTTTTGCGGGAACAGTACGGGTATTTGGTTTAAGAATTTTCAGTTACTAGAGATTATCCTCAACCAACATACGATGCGGGCAATATTATCTCTCGTGTTCCCTCGTGAAGATAATATTTCTCTTTGCTGCAACAAAATTGGGTGTGCAGGATCAAATGTGGGGTTTTTTATGTGCAAACCGACGAAGGGATTCGGGCACGTCCCAGCAGAGGACTCGGGATTAGAAATTTGGACCACCCGGGCACCTCTTGACGTGGAACCAAAATTTCAGTAGCACGCCTTCTCCGCAATAATCCTGTTCGATTGCGGGCACCTTAACCGGGATTCAAACCTGCCGTCTGGGGTGACTGCAGAGGAGTATCGATACCACACACGGGGAAAGGTAACAGCCGGTTTTTCCCACCTCATTCCCTACATGCTCCGATGCTAACTAAAGAACCGGAACAGGAGCGGCAGGTGTGGACATGCCAAGGTCAAGTCTAATTGCAGCTGGATTATGAAACTGGTTCTAAGTGGATCCAGCCGAGACCAGTCCCATAATCCGGCTACAAGTGGACTGACCTGGGCACAAACTTTCAATCTACCAAACCAAGGTGTCGAGCCGGATGCTGCTGCACAACTAATAACCAGGGTTGCATGTTCTCGGTATACCATAAACACCAAAAATTAACCCGCCAGGTGGTTTTCTCCAAATGGTTGAAAAACCGATAAACCCCACATATAAACTGTACATGAAAAAAAAAAAAAAAAGAAGAATGCCAGCTTTATGGGAAGAGATCTTCTACCCTACTTATTTTTCTCTCGTTGACTAGGAACACAGCCACACTGAACAGTCCCTGGGGTTGCTCCTTTCTATCAAACCCATATTCCTTACCCTATTCCCTTCTCTTACTTTTACCAGCATTACTGGAGAAAATATTATAATTTATAAATTATAGTCTCTTTTCCAGTAATCATACAGTTGCTTCACAACACAAGCCCAATAAACAGATTTCTCTCCAGCAATGAAATTAGACATTGAAAAACACAGATTCAAGAAAGAAAAATAAACAGCGATAAACAACCTCCAAATTTGAAGAAAAAATTGTACAGAAAACATGGAACCCTAGTAACAATAAATCTTGCCACGAGTTAGGACTTTTACGCTGGCAAAGCTATTGCATGGGTGCATATACTAATGAAAGGGCACCCACAAAGTTGAGGACGAAGTTGAGGACTGCGGTGCCGCCACCAAAGAGCACCGACAGGGTGGTGGTGAGGACACTGAGCACCACGCTGATGTTCCCCTTCAGCACATTCCAGATGGACTCAAACACCTGCAAAGGAGACACCCAGGGTTGATCTGTTGTTAAGCATTAGCATTTGTTAAAATTCATTTAAAAAGTCCATTTAGGCTCATATCGATGCCACTTTTAAAGGCACAGGTCAGAGCAAGTTTGCACAAGCCCCAGAACTCAGTTTATGGTAGCTTTTTCACGTGTTCGAACTCGCGAGCTTGGACTGACAGTTGGTACTACAGTTTTTTTTTTTAATGTTCGACATGTTTCTTAACCCTTTGAGTGCCGAGATTTTTTCCCGCACCAAGAGCCGCAATATATAACGGAAAGACAATTTTACATTTCTTTAAATTATAAATTTGATGACCAAGTTTAGCCTATACTTTATAAAACCCTTGGCAAAGTGAAGCGGTGTTTCAATGTGAAGAGATCATCTTCTATGGATGAAAAACGAGGAATTCAAAATACTTTGTTCCAGCAGAAATTTTGATGAAGCGGCATTTGCTTTAGCAGGATTCAACCTCAAATTCCCGTGGTGCTTCGACGACATAGTGTGCGGACAAAAGAAACATGGCAACGACGGTTAAGGGGCACCCCCCCCCCCCCCCCCCCCCGCTTCGTAAGTGCAATTCTTAGCCAACAGATGGTGATGGGACCGCCTTCCACGCTTGTACATCAACGTAGTAAATCGTGTGTGGTGGCACTTTTATACAGTGTGGTATTTTTCTAAATCCTGAAATTGGAATCGCTAGTCTTTCACTTGTTTCTCTCTGCGCAAGCTTTCTGAGGAACGTGCCTCAGCTGCACCAGTTTCCGTGCAAAGGGACAAGCTGCCTACGCTATGAGCTCGTGTCTCCAGCAAATGGGGTCAGAACAAAACGCGAAAATCGTCATAAGTGCTAATGGCGAGTCACAGTCTAGACAAAACAACCAATGCGTCAAAAATTTCAAGAATTATGCGATTGCCGGTGTGCGATTAGCACCCCCGAGGATATTGGAGGCCAATTTCACATATTTCAGTCCCTTCATACTTGTACGATGGGTCGGCCGTCTTGCCATCTGTGTGTTTGAGTCTTTATGAATTTACAGAAAAATGTGATATTGTGATAGACCTGGGTTTCCAATATTCCAGTTTGAGGAATTCATTACCTCGAGAATTAAAACAAAACAACTACTTCCTTTTGGTTACGTGTCTCGTTTAGGCCGCTGGGCTGCTTATTTTAACACAATACCCAAAGACTGGAAAAGACAAAAAATTACTTTAAGGTATAGATACTGAGATCGGCAAACCCCAAGTAGGACTGACACCGGAGTCTTGCGCTTAAATACACAACAAAAGTAATGCCAAAATTAAAAATTTGCTCGCAGCATTAAATGATCAGAATTAATTTTAGTATGTGTACTAAAATTCAAAGATCTTGGTTCTGCGGATATATCTATTGCACAGAGTTTAAGAATTGTAGCAGCCTTAATTTCGTGATTTGTGCGAGCAAACTATAGTCAGTGAGAGGTTAAGAGTTCAGGGGAAGCTCCTCCCACCCCTTTCCACTTTAGCAAAGCAAACGTTGGAGAGCAGGCGGCCGTCACACAAATGTTTTTGCCAAACAACGACATTTAGCTACGTGAGTGACCACGTGTGAAGTTGCGAATATTCTGCTTTGATTGTGGCGCATGTGGCCAGTAACATAGGTTTTTTTTGCAATCCGCAAGATAGCTCGCTCCTGGTCTCTAAGGCATGTCGCACACAAAAGAGGATGCACTGAATTGTAGCAGGACTATATAAAAAAAAGAAAATTGATAAACAAAAGGTTGTTAGTCACATGAAAACTGAAGGAATTGAATATATCCAGAAGGTAACCCTACCAAAAAACCCAGCACAACTTTTCACTATCCGGATTATGGAACTAGAAAACTATCAGGATTTTATGTGGATTTCAGGTTTTCAGAAACTACCTTTTTGTCTGCAATCTTGATTTCAGGTTTCCCAAACCAATTTCAGTTAGAATTCCACTTTTATAATCCAGGTTAGCTATACCGGGTTTTTCGGTAGGGAAACTTTGTTTCACCATACACTTTACTACCAAAGTATTTTTCACCATTAGTGTGAATGAGCAGAACCTAAAAGCGCGAGTATGCTGCCCTGAACAAGCGCATGTGCTCGGTAGAGCCAGTCAATGTACAAAGCTTGCTCTTATAGCTTTTGTTCGGCTGAAACCTAAATTGACTTCGGCGCTAAAGGTATCCTCCTTTCTCAGAAAGGAGGAATTGAAGGAGAGTTTCCTCCTTTCTGCTTGTTTGTCGGCCTTTAAGGTGAACTAGCTTCTCACTGTCTAGGCCTCAATACAAATGATTTGTCTATTAAGAGTGGACAACGTTAGAAGGGTGGTTTCCCCTTAAACTTGTTATGTATCAATCCACACTACGCCACTTCCGAAACCGTTCTCATCACCTGCGGCCAGTCCCGCGTACGCTCGCTCTTCACTCCCGCTTCTTCCTCTTTACTCTCGTTCCCCTGCGCACCCGCGGGACGGGCCCAATCGGTGCCGCGCTATCCCTCACAATGCTATTGCATTTAAATCACAATTTTAATAACTCCACAGTTCCCTGTTTTCTTAAATTAAGCGTGCCTATGTTTTTTTGTTTTCTTTTCGTTAACGAGCCGATTTAGTTATATAATATTTTTCCAGAAGTCCGACAACTATACACTGCTTTAAGATAAGTAAGAACTGCCTAATCGAATGTTTTAGACAAAAAGAGCACGAGCACACACACACACTAAAAATGCAATGTCACGGCACATTCAAATTAGTCTTTAGTTTTTTAGACAGCAGGAGTTTCGTACGACGAGATTGTTACCCGCTGTAAGTGAGACTGTAGATGAGACTGTAGCAGTCTCCTATACCCCGTAGATGAAACTGCTAGCCTGAAGTTGCGTATTGCTATTGCATGCATCATGCGGTCGTGGTACACGACTGCACGAGGGTTCCAAATAGGGTAGGTCGAACCCTAGCAAGCACACTTGTACTCTGAACTTGGAGAACCATTCTGTCGCTTCAACAGAGATTTAAGTCCGCGGCGGCGGTTTCAAAGCACACCTTGGAGCCAATATGTCGGTGCAGTGGTGCACATTAGGGGCCGTCGGCGCAGTGTGGTTCTGCGGCGGCTAAAACAAAAGGCGCAACCAGAGTCCTGTTTATGCTACTTTAAATTTTCCTGCCCCCCTCCCAAAACGGAGTTCTGGATCCGCCCCTGCCCCCATTGCACTTGGTTCAGCCAGTCGACGATCGCACAAGCACATAAAGAGAACCAACTGCATGACCTCGTGCTCTTGGCACACCTTCAGGGGCTTCATCAGTCGGTAACGTTGACTGTGCTCTGAACTAAGGTAAAGCGAAGCAAATATTCAAAGCTTAAGGTTTTATGAGCCAAACCAACAAAGGTCATCTGACAAACCCCAGCGAAAAAATCGTGGCTTAGTTGCACGTCAAGACCAACTGAAGGCCTTTTGATGTGCAACCGAAACCTCGGTTTGGACTCCGTCTTATCTCGGGCACCTCGGCCAGCATTCGAATCCTCCAAACGGGGATATATAGACCGGCAAGTTGGCACAGAGCCACTGAGATGTTTTAATGCATAGCATTTTGTTTTAATATCATGGCCAGTTAAAAGCCATTGAGGTGACCATAAAACAAAATATGGTTGAACCGTTCCGACAAGCCATAGTGTGAATGCGAAAATTATTTTTCAGTCGATAAAAATATTTAATAGTTTTGGACGTTGCGGAATCGCAACTGCTGGAATCTCTTTCGTGGTGCCCATTTCATTTCGATCGTGCCTGGCGGCTCTGGCACCTGGCACGTATATCGATGCACAGTGGAACGCATGCAAAAGCAGCTGTGGTGTACCCTCTTGTTGTTTTAACATCTCTGGCTCGCTCACTGCGGACATCCAGGCACCCGACACATCTGGCGCTTTTTCTGTCTTTCACCTGGCGTTCCAAGCGGCACACGCCGGCAAATGCACCTCAAGGTATTCCTGAAGATGTGTCACCATCTGTATATGATAATAAGAAACTGCAACTTGTTGTAAATGAACTGGAAAAGTTTCAGGTCTAATACTCAACTTCACGTGTAATATGTCCTTACGGAAGTTCTGGACAATGTAATATCGAAGGATGCTTCCTACTTCAAGGTCTCGTAAATTTCATTATTTGACGCGATTCCGTTTTATAGCAGGATGAAACCACACCATTTTAAAGTTTGTTTTTTTATTTTAAAATATACATTCTCCGTAGAATTTGTTGCTTACTTCTTTAATTTGTTATATCCAACCGACTGTTCACATAAATTTTCATAGATGTAGGGACGTTACAGTATAGACCACCTACAACGTAACCGCTTATAGTGCAGGACCGGGTATAACGCGGTTTTTTTAAACCACCGGTTCGCCTCCCATAGAACTCCATGTAATTACATACCGCTTAAAATGCAGGCGAGCGAAGGGAAATACCGGTTATAGTGCGGTTTCTGGCACAGCCCGCCGACCGCGCCGCCGACCGCGCTGACGACCGGAGCAGCGAGCACGCTTCCCTGTGCGACACTAGATTACGGCGTTGACGCTGACGGCGCGAGCGGCAAGCGGCACTTGCGGGGCAAGGAGGTTGCTCGAAAAAGCGGGGAGAAGCGAAGAGAGAGGCTTCAGTTGCCATAGCGACGGAGAGATGCATGCACGTGTCGTTCACGTGCGTGCGTCCCTCCGCTGCATTGGAAACAAACAACCACAACGACAGACCAATCGCAGGTCGAGGAGAAATGTTCACGCGCGTTGCATGCCGGTCGCAGGCCGGCTGCTTCTATCCGCAAACATGGCGTCGGTTGTGATCGTCGGCGTAGATGGCGTTCATCTCATCGTTCCGCGTAAAAGAGCTATCCTTGACTGAATTTTCGTTGTGTGTCGCTATGATAACCCAGCACGTACTAGAAGGGAAGATCCACCCACTCGTGCGGCGATCACGTGGCGGCGCTCTCAAGACGGCAAAAACGCCCGTATCGTAGTGTTTGTTTACTTCGACTACAGTGGTGATTTCTAAGCTGTGTCCTTGAACATCGCCCGGATTTCTTATTTGGTGCATTTCATGGGTGTGCTCAAGTTGAAGGTATTACTGGCGCGTACCGTATGAAGAATGCAAATTTTCACGCGTTTTCATCTTCGGAGAAAAGTGATTAGGGTCAGCAATCCTGAACGCTCTCAACGTCCGTCCGCAACCCGCGACGCCGTTAAAAGGCTGCGCCAGGCAAAAGCCGCTCATTTTTTTCAAAATGTGTGACACACTTGAGAGAGAACTGTACTAGTCTGGTAAAATAAAGACTTTCCTCAAACTAAGCTTTATTTTTCATCAAACATACAATAAATTCTTTTACAAAGGTAAGTTGTCTGATGGCATTTATTTTGGCCTGAAAAACTGATGTTTTGGTTATAGCGCGGTACCGCTTATAGTGCGGATTTTCGCGACTCCCGCGACATACGTTATATGCGGTCTACACTATTACTCGAGAAAAAATTGTTCAATATTATAGTGTAATCTATTAAAAGCTAAATAATAAAATAGCAATTAAAAATAATCGTAATATAGAGACTTAAAGTATAGTTAAAGAATAGCTCTTTAACCCCCAAATTATTTCCAAAAAAATGCACCAAATTTCCCCAATTTTTTTTATATCTTTCCAATTATGAGAATGTTTTACTCGATTGGTTTCTATTTGGAATTGCCACAAACATTTTTAAAGGAAAATATGCTCTTATGGGCAGCCTTCCGTCAATGCATGCAAGAGTAATGGAGTACAATGTACTGAAACGTGCCATATTTATCTGAACCGACGCCGCAACAATCAGTGAAAGGTGTAGGCATTGCTTCGTACTGGTGGCGGGTTTCAGGCGTTTATGCACTGCCAGTAAGGGTACTACCTAGTACGTCATCATGGTCGCTGTCACTCTCGTCGTCGTCTGAAGCCGTATCGTGATCACAAGCAATGTTAGACTCACTTTGGGGACAAATTTGAGGTCTTCATCATTGCTGCTATCTGAAGTACTCCAAGCAACAGCTCTTTTTCTGGAGACATCGCCGCCACTGGCATTCCTTATACGTGCGGCCATTTTAAATCACCGTTGCCAGGCCACTGACCATTGTCAGGCAAAACACACGGCAAAAGTGCAAAACATTTTTTTTTTTCTGGGCTTTTACTACCTACGGCTCTCTGTTGTTGAAAATAGAAACCGAAACCAATTACCGGCCATAACTTGGTGATGTCGGTACAAACTCCAATGACGAGCATAGCTCAGGCCTGGGGTTAAAGGGTTAATTTAACATTGACTGTAAAACAGATAGGAAGAAAGTTGTAAACCGTCAAGAAAGAAGCAATTCACGGTGGGGTTGAAACGGGAGCCAGCGAGGGGACGCCACTGACCGACATGAAGGTGCCAATGTTGTCCCGCACGAAGCTGGTGAGCAGGGAGAAGTCGAGGTTGCGCAGGGCGTCCCCAAAGGTGTCCCAGGAGGGGCCGTGGGGCAGGGCCGGGTCCACGCTGGCGTTGCGGGCCACCCACAGGTGGTAAGCCCGGTCCCACAGCTCCAGCATCTGGCGCTCCACCTCCGCCGCATGCGCCTCGTCCGCGTCGTCCAGCACCCGTCGCACCTGTCCAGGAAGCTCGGCTCAGCCCACTCCCGTCGGCTCCCGGGAGCCTCCCTTAACCAAGGACGTTCCAACACCCCAGGACTCAGAACGACGCCGTGCTCGGAGACGCCGGAAAAAAACTAAATCCCAGGTCATGGACGCGGACTTGTCGTCTGCTCGCCGCTCGGTAGTCTGCATTAACTAAGGCTACTCCTACTTTGTGCCTGTGGTCTGCTTTGTCTGCTTGCTGTCACAGCTGGTTTTCCATACAGTAGGCGCATAAAAAGAAGTTTCGACACGCACGTGCATTCTCATCACGACGGAAGGCAACAAACGAGTGCTGGAAGGGCTTCTGCGGCTTTCTGCCTATCTTGGCATTCGTGTGTATGACACCTGATCTGTGCGCTTTCCAAAGCTGTGCTGCGACAGCTCGGTCTAAATGACGCTCCCGGCGCGATGTCTAGAGTGTCTGCTACGGACCCACTTCCTACTCGTCAGGCAAGTGTTGGGGTTCAAATCTCGCCTGTTCGAAACTGCGTGAGCAATCGCGCAGAAACTGTGCGCAATCGCATTGCCACGATCGTGCCACGGCAACTCGGTTGTTTGCCCCATATCTGCACGGCGACAGCCATTCACCGAGTCTTCCTATTGGCCGAGAGACTGAGGATACTTTGTGACCACACCTACCTCTGTCACACTTTGCTCCATATATAAAGAATAGGGACACTGCCTCCTGCCCATTTTAACCTCCTTGCCCGTAACGCACTCCTGTGACGAAAGAGCTAGAACCATTAAATAAGGTACGCTTAGAGCAGTGGTCGGCAACCAGCGGCCCGCGGGCCGAATCCAGCCCGCGAGGCAGTATCATGCAACCCCTAAACCCCCAACGCCCCTCACCCTCCCCCAGCGCGGTCAGCTAAAAAAGAAGGAAACAAATATAAAGTTGTCTAATTTGCTGCCCGTTGCCGGCCTTCACGAATGACTGACGAGAACCTCCACAATGTTTTGCGACTCGCAGTTAGTAGCTTGAATGTGGATGTCCGTAGTTTGGCGAGCGCAGTTCAACACCAGAAGTCTCACTGAGTCTCTAGGTTTTCGTGGAAATGTTAAATATCATGTCGTGTGTCGTGAAATAAAGAAACTGTTCATTTTCAATTTATGTACGTCAGTGTGAGATCGTGTAAGTGTTATTTTTTTAAATTTTAACCCCCCCCCCCCCTCTTACCCGCTGCTTGCCGTCCGGCCCGTTCCACCTTAGCTTCACGGCGACTCGGCCCGCTGCGGCGAAAGGTTGCCGACCACTGGCTTAGAGTATTGGCACTGAAGAACCATGTTCCAAAATTTCTCTATCTTGCTCTAAAGTAAAGGTTCTGTATCTTGACATCCGAAAACCTACCCACGTCCAGCGTTGCTCATCTGTCTTGTCAGGTGACATGATCCGCCGGAGTAGCTCGGATTCATTCGAGTAAGATTTGGATGCAGCCAAGGAGGTTATAATGGAGAGGAGGTTGCATCCGTATTCTCCATATACGGAGCGAAGTGTGACGGAAGTAGGCATGGCCACGAAATGCCCCCTCGGTCTTGAGTCCAATAGGAAAACTCTGTTAATGGGTTCTGCCACTTGAATATAGGGCAAACAACCGTGTTCTCGTGGCATTGCTACGGCAACGCGGTTCTTTGCCCCATAGTGAAATTGCAATGCCCACCGAATCGGTGTTGAACAGCTAAGATTTGGAGCCCAACACTTGCCCGACCAGTAGGAAGTGGGTGCGTGGCAGACACACTGCACACTGCACCAGGAGCGTCACCTCGAGTGAGTCGTCACAGTGCAGCTTTGAAAAGAGAGAATTTGCGGAGTGCAAGTGCGTCTGGTTCTTGCACAGGGATTGTGATGTCAGAATGCCGAGCTATTATTGCCCGATTGAAAAGATAGTGGGTAGACCTCAAGGCATCTAGCATTGAGGTCTACCCAGTATCCTTTCAATCAGAGCCAATCAGAGCTTGGCGTCGTTCTGACGTCACCGCAACTCCTGCGCAAGAAGCAGACGACTTGCTCTCCTTGGTGGGTGCCATAGTCACTAAAGCCGAGAATGGCACTGGGTTCAAGACGTCGCACAAGGTTTGCTTCCAGCATGCGTCCACTGCCTCCTGTCGTGCTGCGACTGTGCACGCACATCAAAACTTCTTTGGTCCCGCCGATCGTATCGAAAGCCAAGTGTGACAGCAGGCAGGCGAAGCAGACCACAGGCTGGAGCCGACGTGGCCTAAGCCTAAAGTAGCCGATCGAGCGGCGAGCAGACGACGACGGCAGCGTTGCTGCGAGAGGCTCTCTGGTGTCGAATTCGTTTTCGGGTGTCGCCGAGCACGACATTGTGCTGGGTCCTGAAGTAATTCAGCGTCCTGGATCGGCACCCCATTCCCCCATTTTCGCGTAGTCACCGCCATTTTGGTGTTGAGTGCAGAACGGACGCAATGTGGAGTCATCACGATTCGAAAACTTGATTTTCCATGCTTTAGACCAGGTGTCGGAAAACTTGGGAGATGTCGTTTCATTTCTGGAGGACAGAAAACCGCTTCCTGCGATTTCAGATAAAGCTTTGGATGAGGTCTTACAATTATGAGTTTAAGCAGCCAGATGGCTGTCGTTTTTCTTTCTTTAGGGACTCCAGATAGAGCATCCTAGCGTTCCGTTGGAACTCTTATCCCGGTCAAAGTAACGCCAGCCGAACGTCCAGGTTCAATCTCTGCCCCGTACTGGCCTCCAGAACACGACGGAATATCTACGACCTCGCTAAGACCCCTTTGCCGCAGCATTTAAGTATGTTACAGCATGATTAGTGCGAATAGCGGTTTTCGTAGAATATTTGAACAGTTTTTTCTAGCTCCGTGTTTCAACGAAAGCCCATCTGAACCCTTAAAGGTTGTTCCCAAGTTTCCATTTGTCCGTTTCTAAGCTAGGTTAATTTTAATACTATAGTATCTATAGACTGTGGCCTTAGGAAGTCCAATGCCAACAATGGGACACAAAACTCTCCAAAACCAAAGCCAGAGTCTCCCTTATAAACTCGCGAGAAGGCCAACTGGAAATGAGCCCGGTGGGCGAGAGAGGAGAGTCACCGTGTTGCCGATCCAGGTGCGGCCGTAGACGTAGGCGTCGCCCAGCACAGAGTCGAGGGCGCCCTGAGCATTTCGCAGGGACTCCGGGAGCAGCTGCTGCAGCTCCGGGCTGTTCACCACCGTGCGGTTGATCAGGCCGCTCGTCACCTCCACCAGATGCATGCTCTCGCCGTACACCTGCGTCCAAGGCACGCCGGGTCACCGCGCCGCTCTCGCTGTGGTGCCTGCAACGCGTCTCCGACCGGCGCGTGTACCGCATTCTCGTATGTACTCCCTCGATATTCACCTGACGATGTCACCGTCGTCGTCATCGTAATATTAATAATCATAGTAACAATAATAATTATAATCTTTATTAAGCGAAAATCGAGGCACTCTGGGTGGCTTGGAGAGCTAGGCAAATAGGCAGGCGCCTGAACTATTGTAAACAGCAAGAGCACGATTGCTGGAGCGCTTGGCCTTATTTGATTCATAATGCGCCACCTCGAGGTAGATAAAACTACGGTGGGGAGAGGGGGCTGAGAGAGTTTGGATTTACTCCAACGTACCCATCCTCGTACCCATCCTCGCACCCCCCCTCCCCCCCCCCTTCTACGCTGTTTTATCAGCCTCGAGGTAGTGTAGCATCTTTCGAAGGCAATGCATTCCTGCTATACTGTTCATGATAGTACACAAGAGTGTCTGCTAGCTAGTCTTAGAAGTGTCGTGCCATTGCCTGTTGCGATCCTGGCAGTGACACAGCAGCGTAAGTGGGTATGGCAGACGCGCGTTCTGCTGCATCTGCCATAAACAAGCTCCAGCTGGGGCACCCATCAGTAACAGATAGGCACAGCAACCACCTCAGTGTCCTGTGCAACGAGGCATGCTGTTTCCTCCGACAGTCCCGAGCATCTGGTCCATACCCGTGGAAGCATCCGTTTGCCGAGCTCATGCTTACAACGCACACTTGCCATCTGTTCTATGCTGGCTGAATCCTATAATGTTGGCAGTAAAAAAGAGCTAGAATCCTTAATTTGTTACAATTCTAGGTTTCCACTCTGGGGAAGAAGAAAGACCAGCGAAGCTGTGCTATGGTGGGAATGAGGTAATAGCCGGCCGCAAGTCGGCAAGCCAGAGTGGAAAGGCTCGAAAGATTGCCGCCATCTATGAGCGACGGCGGCAACCAGACAACTGGCAAGCCGGTTGTCTGGTTGCCATTGTTGCTCATAGATGGCGGTAGCTGTCCAGAGTTCTGTGTCGTCATTTGTTTGCTGACGGACACGATCTTGGGGAAACCAGCCCTTATCAGCTTCGATGTAAAAATAATTCTATTCGTGTTTGGCCGCCATGATCCTAGATAACCATTAGTTGGTAGAAAATATATACAGCTGTTAGAAATACATGTTGCAAGAACTCTTATAGAAAGTCTACTTTTTTCCACCTTCAAGCCACCTTTAATCCAGCAAAGAAGGCAAGCGTGCCACTGTTGTTATCCACAGTAGTGATTTTTGCACAATCTAGGCATCTGTACCTATTCGAAAAGGATGAATTATGTATTCAATGACACATACCTAAGGGAAGACTTATTTTGAGTTTGTTGATAGCACCGACACTATAGTAGCTCAAAACGAAAACCAAGAAGGTCTTCTCAGTGCAGTATCTCGGCCTTGTAAGAAAATCCAACAAGGTTTTCTAGCTCTTTTGCAACAATGAGAGGTGACATCTTCGCTGTGGGTTTTTGTTCGTTATCTGAGTGAATAACAAAAAGCTTTGCGAATGTTTCGACGGTTTCTTTTTCAATGGTCTGTGGTTCTGGAAGTTGCCTCTTAGAGGTTCGTCCCAAACCGGGTTTAGAATGTAAGGAGGCCATGAAAGGCGGATAATGTTCAGAAACTGTGGCACACCACCCACCACAACAACGAAGTAGGGAGCACCGCATAACAAATATGGCTTTGCTGGGTATGCCACACTACTAGTGCTAGTAACTGTAACCAAGTGTGGATCTAGATAAGGGACTCTACAACCACCCAAGCTTAGCCCTTCCCGCCAAAGAAGGTGAAAAATAAGGAAAGAAGAAGGAAGGGAAAGAAGTGAAGGGGTAGTTCAAGAAATGGCAACTGATTGAATCATCCTGGTCGGGCCAAGCCAGGAGGCCCGTCTACGAGAAGCGGGGGCCGAAGCGGTGTATTGCCTCGTCTGGGGAACCCCGAAGTGTCCAAACCTACCCCGGGCCCTGCTGAACCACCATGATGCCCTTTTCCCCGGACACGGGAAAGCCACGCACAGCCAGACGTAAGTGGGCAAACTCACCAAACATCTGCTTTCACAGGTGCCCCCTGTGGTGTTTAGAAATGCAGGGTCATTCATAATAAATACTGTATTTACTCGAATCTAACGCGCACCTTTTTTCCGGGAAAATAGCTCCAAAAATCGCATGCGCGCTAGAATCGAGTGCGACCCAAAGCTGCGCTACCATATCCCCATAGACATTTCAAAATGGCCGCTCCATTACGCGCTGAGACTGAGAGGCTTACAGCATAGCCAGCACTTAGCGTAGTCATGTGTTTCTTACGTTTGTATCAACATGGAAGTTCCCACTACAAAGACATGCCACGTTTACCATGATGCTGGATTCAAAAGAAAAGTGATATTGAGTGCAGATAGCGATAAAAATTGGGCCGCATCACGTGCGTTTAGTGTTCCAGAAACTTGCGTGCGGGACTGGCGCAAGCATAAAAAAAGGATTTTGGCCAGCAAGTCAACGCGGAAGGGATTCAGTGGACCGAAGAAGGGCTGATTCCCCGAAATAGAAGAACCGCTTGCAGAATATGTCGTCCGACAGCGATGAGGAGTGATGCATATTGCCCCACGGGCGCTGCCTCGGACCGGCGTCGTGATGACGACCTTGCCGGCGAGAGACAGCGCGTTCATTTCATCGCAAGACTGAAGCATTTTGAATAAACCTCCGTTGTTCCAAGTGAGAAAAAGTTTCATTTCTGTATCGAATTTACAAAATCTGGTGTGCGTAACAATCGAGGTCATCGCATTTTTTTTTTTTTCGGACTTCCAAAAATGGGTGCGCATTACAATCGAGGGCGTGTTAGATTCGAGTAAAAACAATAAGTGTCCACCTCCGGAGTTCCCGGAAGAGACGCAGAAGGGCACCAGCACTCGGAAAAGGTCAGAGACGAGAAGGGGAAGCAGTACGCAACGGCCATATCGAGTCGAGAAATAAAGGCGCGTTGTTACAACTTTGGTCGTACCTTGTGTGTCGAAGGAGTTGGCGCATCCCGACGCAAAGCCTAACAAGCTTTTAGGCAAAGTGTTGGCTTACGAATTCCCAGTGGGCAGATTCAAATTGCAACCGAGATGCCCACAATCTGACCTAGGTTTATTGGCAGTTTGATACTTTAGACTCATGTTACGGACAAAAAACAGGGTGCTGGATGGGCAAAAAAAACATGCTTTACATGTAAGGCTCGTCAAATTATGAGGTGCTGGAGAAAGCCAGCCTTCTGCGTTAAGTCCTTAACTCAAACTCTTTTTCTCTGCGTTCCACCCATTGAAAAACATGCGGGAAGCGCCTCAGCATGCACCTCGTATCGTTGTGCTGCAGTGTTCTTCCACAGCATAAAGGCTGTCTGATTTCATCGTCGTCACCATGGCGACGAACGCTGAACGACCTTTTCGGACGGCGCATGTATCACTGGGGAGCGTGTTAACTCACCCCTCCCGCCTGCATTCACGCCGCTTCGCAGCGATAGTCTGCGGATACTCGTTACAAAACTATTAAACTTTGGCTAGCAGACGGCGTTCGGAAAATCAGTTTTCGTTGCCATGGTGATGGCGATGAAAGCAGACGGCCTTTATGCTGCGGAATAACACTGCGGCACAGCGATATGAGGTGTGTGCTGAGGCTCTTCCCGCATGCTTTTCAATGGGCGGAACGCGAACAAAAAGAGTTTGAAATAAGAACTTAACGCAGAAGGCTGGTTTTCTCCAGCGCCTCATAATTTGACAAGCCGTACACAAAAAAAATGTTTTTAGACCGGAGTTTGGAGATAGTTTTTTTTACAACAACATGGGTCTAAAGTATAAATGTGCCGGTTTATTGTAATGAGGAGCCAAATGTTTGTTTGCACGCTAAATAACCCCCACTGGTCGAAATGAATACTCAGTCTTTCCCTGGGGTATGCCAGAGGACTCTCATTGGTCTGGTGGCAAACCTCCCAGTTTCATTTCACACCTCAAATGCATTTAGCAGCGTCAAAAGATGTTACCCCTCCACATGAACCATCTTGGCACAGCCTACGAGCACACCTCAAAGAAAACGCACCTGCACTGCAAGGAAGACTGTGCCCACGGTGGCCATGAGAGAAACCAGCAGTATGATTCCGACGGTGGTGAAGGAGTCGATGGACGTCTTCAGCAGGGAGACCATCTGCAAAGACGACGGACAGAAGAGGAGCTCGCAAAGAACAAGTGTCCTCCTTGTTACTGGTCAGAGTCAGCTGCCAAGATAAGACGAGAGCCACTGGACATTCAGAGTACCAAAAGTCAGGTTCCAATTGCTACCATATGGTGCACGAAAGTTGAACCCCGCACAAAAGGCATTAAGAAGAGTCTCCTTTGTAGGACTTCATAAAACAGGGTGGTAGGGTATCCCTTTACAAGCATCTTGGCTGGAATTCATGGTTAGAGCTATTAAAAGGACTTCAATGAAGAAAGCAAAGCCAATACTGCAAACAGCAAGGGATCGTGCTTAGTTGTCTTACACTCCTTGGCGGAATATAAGAAAATGTACTAAAATATTAAGGTGGTCTAGTTGGTTCAGCACACCTACTCGTCTGCCTGTCCTTTGCACTTTATAAACTTAGTTTATTGAACCAACTAGCCCACCTTAGTAAATCTTTTCTCTCCTACATTGGACCCTTTTCTATGTTTCTCCCATCCAATCTTTTTATTAAAATGGCAGTTGTGTATAGCGCTGTCCCGCCCTCTTCATGTCCTCGTCTGTGCTTTGCACTTTATATATTTAGCAGGAGATGGGGTTGCAGTGGCTGTTTGGGGTGCTACCATTTAATTCAATGAATCAGGTGGTGGCTTACACTGCCTAGTGGTGCCTCGGACAATTGTCTCTCGATGCGAAGGCCATTCAAGCCACTGCGTGCCACGTGCTCCCATTTCGTTGCATGTCACTGCATTGCCCACAACGGTAGTTTTCCTCAACTTAAATAATTTTGTGACATTTTTCAAACTTATCCAGATGCTTTGAAATTTCCTGACAATTGCAGGTTGGTAGATGCCCTGCACGCTGCCCCACTTTCTCTTCCATATGTTTTAAGGGGGGACGCTACTCAGAAAAAACAATTTCTGCAAAAAAAGCTGATTTTGAGAAAATGCCATATTTACATCCATCAACATGTAGAGAATATTGCCAGAAAGTTTCATTAGTTTACACTGCACAGTTAATTTTTTTATAAATTTCTTTTGGTTCGTCGATGCTACAGAAAAGGTAGGGGTTGGAGCACTTTGAATGCATTTTTCTCCGTTCCACTTTTCGGCATACATTTCACTTTAGGAAAACTATTGTTTTCCTATAACACAATAGAGAATTATTCTTAGGTAGTTTTCTGTGATAGAATTTTGTAAGGAACATGCCTGGCTGGTTAGATTTTCTACCTTAATATTCTTTTATGCTAAAAAAACTACATTTGTAAAAAAGTGCAGACATGAAGAAAAAATTGTAATCTTCTTATGGAGTTATACTTATGAAAAACAATGCAAAAAATGAGCGCATCTCCACGTGGTGAATGATGTTGAGTGGGGCGAAGCTCTGGTGGTGCTGATGATACTGATTTTATTGTTCATAGGTAGTGCTGATGGTGCTGATTTTTTTATTGCTCAGAGGTAGTGCTGAGTTCCGGGTTGCGTTTCGACTTCGTTATTACTGCTTTATGGTCGGTGAAATGCAGAGCCATGCATGCAAAGTTTAACGCGATTATATACTCATTTGACCACAGCGCCCTCTCCTGTATAGACGTTGAGCGGCTACTTGCAATGTTTCATCCATGACATCCCCAGCTCTTGAGTTACTACCACATCTCGGAGCACCATACTCATCCCGCAATCGTGACCGAGTGGTTAAGGCGATGGACTAGAAATCAATTGGTGTCTCCCCGCACAGGTTTGAATCCTGTCGACTGTGCAAACATTTTTTCTTTTTATGTGAGCAGGGACGCCGAACAGCCAGACGGACGGACGGACAAGGCTAGACCCTAAGGAGCCTCGCCCCTAATATAGCAAAATAACTGCCATAGAATACCGCGCCCATTCCACACTAAGCCCCCACACCAAAATTTGTGATATATGAAAAAATATGCGCCATACATTTTTATGTAATATTGATGAGCGCCCATCCCCTATTTCTTTAGTGATTCTCTCCAAAGATTGAGTGGGCGCTTGCCCGGTATTTTACGGTAGCTGGATATGTGTTGTGGGTATTCCTATGTCTATAGTACACATAAAAATCAAAAAATTTTTTATTTTAAAGCAATAGTTTTTCTAAGCGAACACACTGACTTCCATATTGTAACATTTGTAACAAGTTTCAAAGCTAACATAGGAAAATTAAGTTTGGCAGGGATGGTCTTGCCACTCATATAAACTTCCACTGCAAATTTGATTAAAATAAAGCAAGCGGTACAAAAGTTCACTTTTTTGGGTAGTGTCTCCCCTCAAGACCCTCTGGAGATGGTCATGGCTTAGGGACAATACAGGATTGAAACAGAGGCCATCTGAGGTTGGAGTGCGAGCAAGTTCACGCAACAACAGCCGACACATACCGGGTAGCCGTCGACCCAAGAACAACAAGTAAGAAGAGCATTAAAAAGGAACAATAGAAGTCATAATTGCATGTTCCGCATCGAAGAATTACGCCCTAAGCTACGCCAAATCTACAGTTCCACGACTAGGGCAGAAGCGTGCGACCATTGGAAGGCCCAGGGGGGCAGAGGCGGAGTAGTGCGCCGAGTGTGGGCTGACCCGCTTGTCCCCTCCGCGCAGCAGGTGCCACAGCCCGTGCACGGGTGCTGGGAACAGGGCCTGGCGCCGGTCCTCGTACCAGTTGCGCAGCGTCCAGCACCAGCTGCGGGACTGCTCACGCACGCAGCCCCACAGGTTCAGGTGGCTCCCTGAGAGACAACGCCGGCCCCACCATGGCCAGGCAGCCGCATCAGGTGATGAGCACTTGGACTGCGTTCCAAAAGCGTGGCCTTCGATACGTGCTGCGCTATTTGGAGGCCCCTAGGAACCAATGAAACTGCGGAGCGGAAAAAAGAGACTACGAGGACCTACACAACACCACCTAAACTAAAAGGCGCATCGGCCTTTATCTGAAACTAGTGAGGACACGAGTGAGCGCCAACAGAGCAGTTGTGTCCAACCTATTTGTCTCCTTAGATGTTGATGAAAATTCGGCACTAAGGCCTCCTTATCCGAGAGGTATTGGCCTACTCTTCTCGCAGCCCCTCTCCACCGTGCACTTTTTTTCAGTCTCAGGATGTTGCGGCACGTATCCAAGGCCATGAGTTCTGCCGTTTGCGTTTCGTTCCTACTTGGTAGTACTGCGGCGTTCAAAAACCCACTCACGTCCGGCGTTGCCCTATCTGCATTATCGCGCGACGCGGCCTGCAGGAGCAGCTCGAATCTATCGAATAAAAATAAACTAAGACGCTGATAGGTTTGTCGTTTTCCCCCTCCAAATGCACGAATAGTGCTAAAGGGGATAAAAGGAAGGAAACAAGTTACCACTGCGTAGTGCATGACGCAGCCAACTGGGACGTTTCGCCGGCAGTTACATTTTTGCTATGCGCATATTAAAGGGATGTGCAGTTTGCTGGTGAATGCGGCTATCTCTCCCGGCAAATATGAGAAATTGTGAAGTTGTGTGACTGGTTTCGCTAAGGGAAATGCACCTAGTGCCACTGGCGAATGTTTCTGAAATGGCGTCAGCAAGGACTTACCCACATCCCCTGGAAATATAGGCATAAAATTAGTACTCCCATCAGTTATGATTTGTGAATGGACGCCAACTACTATCCTTCCAGACAAATCGTACCCCTCGACACCCAGAGGCCAGCTGCAGGATATGCCACCAGAAAGACAGCCTTGCACTTTGGAGAGATGCTAATGCAAGTAGAAGCTTTAATCTCCACTAAAGATTGGAAACTCGCAAGTTGCACACGCCAGTACCCACAGATCGCGGGAGCATAGCCTAGACGTTGAAACAAAACAAAATCTGTGTGTGACATCCATAGTAAACGCAAGACAAAGGAAAAAAAAAAAATTAATGAAACATTGGTGTTTGTCAAAGTAAACAAACACTTTTAAAGCCTAGCTTATGCAAAATTTAGATAAGTTCAAAGTAAAAATTCAAAATGCCTTTAAAGGGATACTGAACTAAGGAATTTAGTGCCCATAATAAGTGGCGCACGCTTTTTCCACGAGCCAGCAGCCGCCGGTGTGCGCGAGCACACGCAACAAAAATGATGTCAAAGACTTCCATTCGCAGTTAAGATGACAGTGAAATGTATGGGCTTCGGGCCGAAGGAAAATAAAGACCAGTTCTTCATCTACACAGTGGTGTCTGGTGTAAAAGGTAAGCGATTAATTGATCTAACAAGCACGTAGCTTTCACTTGTTGAGATGAAAAGCCTGTCTTTATTCTCCTTTGGACCGAAGCCCATGCATTTCACTGTCCTTTTAACCGCGAATGGAGGTCTTTGACGTCATTTTCTTTGTGTGTGCTCGCGCACACCGTCGGCTGCTGGCTCGTGGAAAGAATGTGCGCCACTTATTATGGGCACTAAATTCTTTGGTTCAGTATCCCTTTAACTGCAGAAAAAAAAGTTTCACCAACACCATTTTTGGGATTTTTTTGTTCCTCTTTTGAGTGTAGCGAAGCGACGTTTGAAAAACACTCTTGGGAGGAACAGCCGCAATTATTAACAAACTGCCCAGTAACCAGTAGCGTGATAGAACGTGAGAAATATGTGCAACATCAACTTGGTTGATCAGGTTTGGTGCTCAGTGCTGACCTTTATTTGTTTATTCAATTAATTATTAATGAGAATGTATTTTATGAATCGTTTCCTTCAAGAAAATCCTCATGAAGCAACGTTATAAATGAGCGTTATAGTGAGCAATCATAGTGAGCGTCATGAATGAGTGACAAGCTGGGAGCATTATAGACGTTAAGATCCTTTTTGGATCAACGATTTCACAAGGACCTACCGATGTTTTCTGGCATAGGAAGCTTCAATGTGCCAGAATTCCAAAAGAAATCTCCGTCGGCGGTTAGTCGGAAGGTCGAGAATGCGGGTGTTCTCGGCGGTCCTTGGTGTTGCGGCGTTCAGCGACCGCACTGGGCGCGATCGAAATTGCGAACGTCGTTTTGATGCTGGCGGATCCCCTCCCGAGGGTTTTTCGTTCTGCTGATGTTAGTGGCTGGACACTCTCTCTTTGCAGATTGTCCCGCACAGCCATCCCAAAATAGCGAGCACTAAAATGTAAGCTTTCTTTCAGGCATGTGCATTCACATAGTTCTTGTTATCGCAAAGTGATTAGCCAACGTCGTCGCTTGAGATAGCATGAGACGAAAAGTTGCCTCTCCTGCAGCATTTGGGGGGTCCAACAAACATTCTCGTAGGAAAAGGCGAAAGCAGAGCAGAGTCAATCCGCGCTTTTTCCTCCCATCGTACACACAAGGAACAAACTGCAACGGTGGCCCATAGCTGGAAGAGATATTAGGAGGTTAAGAATTTGTTAAGACCAAAGCTTTGGCTAGAACGTGCTTCCACACTATGGGAACGGTGCATGCAAAAGACCACAAAAAGAGGGAGCACACATACACGGCGTTCTGTGGGTGCCCCCATCTTTCGTGCTAGCCTTGTGTGTGCGCTGTTCTCACAGTTGGAAAGCTGGGGATTCCAACAAAGTCCAAAGACGGGTCCTCGAGGGTAAAGGTGCCGTTATGCCGACGATACGATGAGCAAGCGCAAGTGCTCGTGTCACGTGGCGCCACTGTGCGGGGCTAAACAATGGGCGTGCCACTGCACTAGTGGCCACCTGCGGCGGTGGGGCAAGAAAGGTGGCGCAGCGCCAAATGGTGTGGCTACGCTGCCTGGAATGCGTTTTTCACTGGTGTGTTTACCAAGTCCTCAAAGCTGGTCCCTAAATTTCTGCCCGACGTCGCCGCAGAAGTGTCATGCTGTCTTTGCAACGTCGTTCATTCCAACTTCGGGACTGCTTTCGATGCTCGCGCGGAATAGACCGCTAAACACACCGGTTGGAGACGTGTTGCGGGCAACGTAGTGTGGCTTCCCCGGACGGTGCTCACCCAGTCGCTTGATGATGGTGTACAGCAGGGGCACGTAGGTGAGGTGCAGCAGCCAGATGTAGCGCCACAGCTGGGCCAGCACGCAGGCCCAGACCAGGGTGGTCAGGTACAGCCGGCTCAGGTCCTGGTGCTCCTTGTCCTTGTCCTCTTCCTTGTCCTTGTCCTTGCTGTCCTTGCTCTCCTTCCGGTCGCTGTCCTGGATCGTGATGGCTGGCAGGATCGTGTCCTCCCCGGACGAGGCCGACAGACGGCGGTCAGGCGTCGAAGCCCGGCTCACGTGCAGCGCCGGGGCCAGCATCCGCCGCGTCCCCTCGGGCGATGACTGCTCCTGCGGCTTGTCGCCCGGCTTGTCCTCCGGCTTGCCTGCCGACCTCTCCTGAAAAATGGGAGTTTGGAGAAAACGTGGGTTGGAGAGTGGAACACCTCGTTTTGGGAAGGGAGTGACTTGGTTCCAACAAACCCTGATTCAGAAATACAAACTGTTTATCGCCCCTAATAAAACTTTCTGGAAAATCATGCGAGGCTTCTCAGCAGCCCTACCTTGCACCGTGAAAATATATGGCCAGTATTACTTCCATTGCATATGCTGGAAGTACTAATACTGGGTGCAAATCCGGTATTACTTTGACTGCCCTGTTAGAGATTGGTAGGTTAGGGCCAAAGGTTGAAGTTTTCAGCTGCTCCTGAGGTTGTAATTTGTGCATTGCTGTCATATAGTCGTAGTCAAATCAAAAGTCAAATTGGATGTTTTAGTGATTTATACAGCGTAAGGTTGGTCTGCCAGTAGGGGCGACACTGGTTTACACTGTAGATGAGCAATTTTGCCAGTGCAATACGACTGCTAACCTGGGGTCTTTAACGTGCTCACGCAGTAGTGATACATGACCGCATGCCGGTACGATACTCATCCAGATCGAAACGGGCAGGGGTGGGGATTGAGCCCAGGATCCCTGGGTTCTGCAGCGCAAGCTGGGTGTGCGCTTCAGCCCACTCGGCCACCGATCCCCTCACTTGTAGTGTAGCCGATTGATTAAGCAGAGTAAGCAGGGAACGTCGACATGGCAGCACCATTCTCATCGTCTTCTTCGTTCCTTATTGACCTCATCACTTCTTTCTTCACATCAAACTCTACATTTCCCCCTCTCTTAAAGGAAATGTATGCATCAACATAAACAAACTAAAAGAAGAAGTACTAAAATGAACAAACTAGACAACAGTATGAAGAAAGATATCAGAAAAGTAATTATTTACAAGTTGATGCGTTACTCTGACTTTAAGTAAATGTCGAGTCTGTGAACAGAATGCAAAAAAGGAGTTGCGCCTGTTGTTAAGAAACTTAATTTAAGCAAGCAATGTAATAATACCTGTAATCCATGGGAACTTGTCATATGCTTAGAGAAATATGCTTCCTCTTAAAGTTGCATATCTTTTAGGGCTCTTATTTAATTGAAAAATATGTCCATTTCCTTGTAGGTGTACCAGGGCATTCAACGTTTACTGGTGAATAACAATGCACCGAGGAAGACTATTTTTGTACACAACATTGCTAGTGTCTCCTCCAGATTTCACACAGTTGTAAGGCTGCTATCAAGAACTGTAGTGCAGCGTAAAATGTACACAAGTGGTATAAACTTCGGTAGAGTATAGTGTTCAATGCTAATGTGGATGAACTGAATGCACCAAGCGTCGATGTCCTGTTGGTGCTTACTGTGTCACGCACTGTATACCTTCTAGACCAGTTATGTTGCCTCGGGAGTTTCACACAAAATAATGCAATGTACAGAAGAACCTCATTCAGACAGACAGAAATGGTACAAAGAAAACATTGAATTTCCATGGCCAATGTTATCTCAAGAATGAAAGTGCACCAACACACTCTTCACTCTTTTTATAAATAAAATACATTTCTGTTTTTACAGGGTGGGGGTCGAAATACAAACACTGTAAGTAACTAAGTGATCATGCATAATTCAAAAGCTAGACAAAGTATCATAACAAAAAGGCACACCATGGCCAATTTCTAATGATAAAGTTTAACTAAAAATTACGCTAAACACTTTATGACAAGGCAGAATGAAATTTTTCACAAAGATGTCTGTTGTCAATTATAATACCATTTTTAAACATAGGTTTTGAAGCGGCCTGTGTCCGAAATCGGATCTGAAGATGTGAAATTCTCAATGGCAGGAATATAACCAGAAGGCTTATCCAAGAGTTATGTTCAATGCTTCAAGAAAATTACACCATTTTTTGAAATGCCGAATTGTCTTGACATTTAGAATAAGGCTTTGTTTTTTAATGTTCGACACATGCGTAACATTGCGAATGTGGTGATGCCACTGGTAACAGACATATCTGAAAGACCTTTCAAGGTGTTCTTCTTGAGAAGCAATTTCTGGACACAAACTTTCCTTCCAGACATCCTTAATTTATTAGTGAAAGAATGCAATCAGACATTAGTTGTTACTCGCTATGGACAGGAAAGGGAAGTTATACAATGAACAATGACAGAGGAAGTCACATGAAACAGGGTGCCCCAGCCAGTGTCACACATACACACACACACACCATGTTTGCCAGATGTGACACAAGCTCCTGCCCACCACCGTCTCAGACCAAAGCAACTTTAGGGAAAACTGGCAACCACAGTCAGCGCAGAAACCCAAAGGAAGGGATGGAACACTGCCGATAGAAAGGGCTTCAGCAGGCGACGAGCCTCAAGACCGCAAGCAGGGCACGACAAATGCTTCCGACATATCTCGCAGGGCACATGGCTGTGAAAGTGGGCATGACGGTCATTTACTCGTTGGTGGCGTGGCAAAATGAGGGCAAACCAATTCATTTGTGCCTGTTCAGAGGGTGCGCTTGCGGTATGCGCTTCAAGATAGTCAATCTCAAATCGTATAAGGCAGGTTATATTGATGCGGGGCATACAAGTAAATGAAACCTGCTTATTATATAGATTTCAAGTTACGAATCCGGTAATTTCAGGCAACTGTGCTACTGCTGAAATGTTTCTAAATTTATGCATATTTGATGGAAAACCACCATTCTCAACTATTCGTAGCTCCGAGCCGAACCGTTGAACTGAATATGTCAGAATTATGATGCTTTAGCATAGCCACTGCGGAGTCCAGGGAAACTTCCAATTTTAGGAGTTCACTTATAAGGTTTTCTGGAATGTGCCTGCGAAGTCAGTTAAAATATAAACCGGCAGGGGTGCAATTCCCGAAAAAAGGACAAGTGCCCCACCACGGCCTCATTCTGCCACGCGGGGACAGGGGCTACAGGCAGCGAGGGTGGGGGGTCCACACGTGGCAGCTACTGACTTGGGAGGGGCCCCTGCCCTCTCTGCCCTCCGGCTTGAGTCCTGGCAGGAACACTTGGTCGGGGGCCTCGCTGAACGACACCCGCTTCTTGGGGCTCGGCACGGGGACTCCCAAGTGGTCCTGAGGCGGAAGTCCCGTTGGGACGCTCCAGAGGCGGAGGCCCCTGCTTAACCCAAACATCCTCTTGCGCCCACTACCCTCTCGTTTGAGACAACCCATTGAAATGTAGTTGCGGGGGGAGGACATACGCACAAAGGAGCTTTACCTCTAGCAAAATTGTGTCTTAGTGACTTTCACATTGAAAAATTATATCTTAACATATTACCTATATCTTCAAGTGCAACTCCGCTTCATTTTTGTTTCTAAAAAAATAATTCAGTTATTTTCAGTATCACCTAAAAAGACCACAAGTCAAATATTGTGACTTAGATCTGTCTAAATGTTTCTTAAACGGCCCTGTAAACTTCGGAATGTGCAAAGTTGCTGAAATCTGCTGACTCTAGCGGGCTTCGGCTGACTCAAGCAGGCAAAAGACATGGCAATACGGAGAGAAATTACTGTTAGCTTTCCCCCAATACATTCACCGACGAAAACATATGAAAAAGAGTAAACACAACCATCCATAGTGTATCTACACCAGGTATACACTGAACACTGCACTATACACACCTTGGACCTAAGTGTTTATGGCATTCATTCAATCCCCGAGTCTTAAAGCTGCCATCCTCGTGTGACCAGACTTTATGAGATTTGCTTTGTGTGTTACCATTCACCGTATAGGCATCTGCAGACAACTTTCCAGCTTCCATACACAAAAGTGCCTTCATCCTGCCGCTTGCGTGGCCAAGTTGGCAGCTCCCGCGCGTCCCATGCGGAGGATAGGGGTTCGAATCTCTTTAGCCTAGTTTTCATTTTACCTTTCGTTGCTTCCCTGGAAACACAGTTATTGCGTGTTCTGGGTTAGAACCTTTGTGAGCATAAAGCACGTATAAAGGCAGCCGCAGCACACTTCAACAAAGCCAATCTTACGCTAGCACTCGATCCTGCTGTTATGCTGACATCGATGCCCACGATGCCATTTATTATAATTTTGTTTTGGCAAAAGTTTACAATATTAAACCTTTAGATTCTCCAGTCATTCATAATTAATTCAGTCCCTCGTTATTCATGGCAATGTAGGTCAGAGTGACACAGGTGCACAATCCTGAATTATGGTGGAAATGAGAAGGGCGTACAAACAGCTCCACACAAAATGGGCATTTGCCGTCCTCGAAGCAAGGCCTGTCGTGGCTGCACGTGGGCATACCTGAGCGTCTGACGGCAGAGGGTTGCCCGTGAGCCAGGCCCAGCCAGCACGCAGTGTGGTCACGCATGGAGATGGACAGTCATCCTCTGCTGTTGAGGAAGAGGAATGAAAAAGGAGCGATCAGCGCTCGCGGCCATTTGCCACAACCAGCTGAAGGCTTCACACTCGCCAACTAATGCGGAGGGCAAGCCGTCTGCTTTTTGTGCAGGGGTTGCGGTGAGAAGGACGCCGAGCTCCAATTGGTTTTGACTGAAAGGATAGTGGGCAGACCTCAATGGTAGATGCCTTAAAGGACACATGCAAAGGAAAAAGACATTTTTTTTTTAGACAGCCTGGTTGGGAAAATGAAGTCATTAATTGAATTTACAACTAAAAAGAAAAATTTTTAGAGCTATATTTACGGCGCAATACAAAAGTTGGCGCCCGCGGGTGCAGCGGAAAAGTGGCCACTATGTATGACGTGACTGACCACTATTTGTCACGTGGTGCTTTTGCTCTTTCGAAAGCTTTTTATGGTCTCTAAAAGTTACTTATTCATCCTCGTTTGAAGTGAAACAAAAAACAAAGATTAGTAAGCAACTTTTAGAGCCCAAAGGAAGCTTCTAAAAGAGCGCAAGCACCACAATAGCAGACGACCTGTGCGGTGGTCAGAAATTGACGGCGTCGGTGCTCCAGAACAAACGAACTTGCCAACGGCGGCAGCATGGAGAAACACATTGAACCGGCGTCTCACCACGCTCAGCGTGCGGCGGCGGTGCACAGGTCTACCACGTGACCAGCGGCTGCTCCCGCGGGCACCAAGCACACATTCGTTTTGCGCCGTAAAAATAGCTCTAAAAATTTGTTTTCTTCGTTGTAAATTTGTTTTATAACATTCTCTTTCCATCTAGGCTGTTTAAAAATTTTTTTTTTCCTTCGCATGCGTTTTTTAACGCAAGAGAAGGTGCGTGATACGGATACCAAAATGACGATGGATGGATGGATGATGTCGGCTATGCCCTTTGTAACAGGTAGTAGCTTGCGCCACCTAGCCTAAGAAAATGCCTTCCTCGCCCACCTAAACACCCAATTTCCTTTTCTCTACATCCCTGCAACTATCAACAGGCTGGGGGAAAGAACCACCAGGCTGACCCTTAAGAAATCAAGCAAATACAAAAAAAAAAAAAAAGGAAAACACACTTTCGTTTTTGTTCCGTCCGTCCGTCCTGCCTGTCCGCCCGCCCGCCCACCAGGCATCACTTTCTAATTACTACCCGAAGAAAAATACAGTCTTGTTTTTCTCAAGGTAAATGCTCTGCTCTGCTTACATTTCTGCCATAGCTTGGCATGAGCCTCAGCACTAGATTTACAACAGATTTCCAGACTTAAAAAAAAGAAAAGGGGCAAGCAGACACAACTGTTTCTCAATTGCAAAAAGTCTTTTACTTCTAAATTCAACAGTTACTGGTGCTGATGGCCCGGATCGGCATGGAGCTGCGGCAGCATAAACATGCCACACTCCCATTTATTTAGTTTGACAGCGCTGTTTTGGCCTTTAATTTATGTTTCTTTATTTGCACAACAAACAGCACGTAATGCTGTCTAGTCGATTTCATTCTTGAATATGTCAAAGTATGCGAAACATCCCATTACATTCGCAAAACGGCGCTCAATTTCACCAAAAAAGGTAGCATCTGTGCACTGCACACGTGCTTTGTGACCATATCTAACAGTTCGTTTGGAGGAGCAGACAACGTTTCGAGGTAAAGAGTAAGCGTTGCACCTTGGTCTAAAGGGAGTCTCTCTCTCTCTCTCTCTAATGAAATGGTCTATACACAGGTATCCTACCTAAAGTCTTAAACTTGGAGAAGTAAAAAACAATTCACCAATGATGCATATAGTTGGTAAGGGTATTATAGTCTGTCATATATACCCTGGTGAAAGTTCCATTTTGAGATGTTTGCTGCAAGGTTGAGTAGTCACATCAGCAGGCACCAAGTTTTGTTTTTATTTTGCAAATGCCCAAGGATACTGCACACTTATCCCACTTTGGAAGAGTGCATTTCTCCTTAGCGCGTCGGTACACTGTGGCGAAGCAACATACACAGAATTTCTGTGTTGCAGAGCCAATTAACCTATCCGAACATACCATAAACAAGGAGAAACATTGACAAGGTTTCGAGTGCCGGCAGTATTTAAAGGGGCACTGACACCCCAAAGGTCGTATTTATTTTTATTGTCTAAAACGATGCAAGTTGCAGTCATAGACACGCAAAAAAAACCGCATCGCGGAAAAAAATTTTCCCGCGCGCGCGCGCGCCTTTTTATTTTTGGCGTTTGATTTTCCCGCCTCTCGCCTCCTCGCTTCTTTTGATCGGTGACGTCAAAAATCAGGAAATTTAGAAGCTTTGTAGGCGACATCTCTATAACATTTAATAACGGCAATCGTAAAACATGTTTTTTAACGCAATTGCGAACGCACTACGGCCCTTCTTTTTGAAATACCAAAAATCGGGAGTTCGTTGTGCTGCCGTCTCCTGGATTTGTATCCTCCAACGGAAAACAGGCGACACCGCTCAAAACCGGTCCGCCGCAACGCCGCCGCCGCCGCCGCTCACTCCTTTCCTCCTCGCTTTGGGTCGCCCTGGCAACAACAGGGAGTGGTGAAAGAAAGTCGACTCTCAGGTCTCCGCGATTTTTGACGTCAAGGCACCGGCGCCGATCGCGCGGGAACTTCGAATTCGGCATTTGGAAATTGTTTTTTTACTTCACAAATACTGAATTCCCAAATTTCAAATTTTGAGGGTAATGTCCCGGCATCGTTTTCAATCGTTTCGGATAATAAAAAAAAAATATGATTTTGATGTGTCAGTGCCCCTTTAATACAGAGTTCAGATGAAATAGTAGGCTATTCGAAGCAATAATCAAAAATTCTGAAGGTTTGCGAAAGCCAACTATAACAATCCGGCAGTATACCAGGGCCTGAGCTATTAGTTTCAATAGCAATAAAGTAATATGACCAGCATGTAGTATGTTTTTTTTTTTTTGTGAAATGTAGCAGGATATAACAGGATGCGCCGAGGTGTAGCGGCATGTAGCAGGGTGCACAGCATGGTACAAACGGCGCCGCTTTTCCGGCACACTGCGCCGGAGAAAGACCAAGCAAAGTGACGCGCTCACCGGTGTGGTCGTCCCCCAGGGAGCCGTTGCGGAGCTCGGCCAGGAAGCCCATGACGAGAAGGGCGAGCACAACGACCAGGATGGGCATGCGCCAGACGCCGGCCACCGAGGCCAGGTGGCTCACCAGTGCCAGCCAGATGACGGGGGAGAGGGCCGTCAGGGGTCCTTCTGTCGGGGGCCCCCACCAGAAGCAGAGGGCACCCACGTAGCCCAGCAGGAGGCTCCACACCTGCAGGTGTCATGCGATGCGCAGCATGCGCTTGACACGTTGCCCCTAAAGACTCCACCGACCTCGACCTCGTGGGTCCTATTTTGGGTCATTGCAAGAGCAAGATCGAATTTGTCTTTCTGAAATGAGCGAAAATAGCTTTTGGAGACCGTTCGTCTGCTACAAAGCATCATTTGCATGCGGAAGTGAAATAAGAAAATGCCGTATTTCATCCGTCTGCAAACAGACTGGAAAAAATTTATTGTCTGTTACGAACCGAGCGCTAGGGCGAAGTGAGATCGGAAGTAGGTTGAAATTGCTATTGTTCGCTATTTCTCATTGGAAGCCAGTGACAACCATATATTGTAAACGCTGCCTTTCCCGCAATGTGTCAGAATCCCTCGATGGCTTAATACTGATCCTCCCAGCATCAAGGTGTCTATGCTGGTTCCCTGTCATTTTTTCCCTCTTTAATGTCCACAGTGTCCAGTGAGAACTGAACTGCTACAGTCAATATGAGATATCAACAATCTTGAGATGATTCAACAACATGTCCGAGAGTCTGCCACGGAGTGCGAAAATTGGAATGCGGCTTGGAAAGTCAAAATACTGTCATTACTACCCATTGAAAAAAAGAAAAAAAAAGGGAGGTGGTCACTGCATAAATTACAGCTAAAAACAAGTTAACATATTCAACGTAAAAATTTAAACCTTGAGACACGGGGAAATAACATAATGGAAAAGACTGTGTCGCCGTCTTGTCCATTATTTTATTCCTCCATGTCTCACGGTTTAGATTATGTTTCCTAGTTAACCAGCCCGCCTGCATCCATTTGCTTTTCAGATATTTAAGCTGTGAACAAGAACGTTTTGCAAACATTTTATTGTTTTCTAAGACTTCTTTTTTTCTTTTGTTGTAACACAGTTTTGCCCAGGGCAGTGCAAACAAAGCTAGAGGCATTTTGTGTGCACTGTGAAGGAAATAAACAATGTCCCGATAGTGATACTGAGCTCCTTGCCTACAAAAGTTTTGCAAGATCTGTCTCAGTGTGGTGTCCTTTCACCGACGATGTAATTAACAGAGTAGAAGGTAAAGTTAGCTGCTCGGCTTATTTGTAAGATTTACAATACGAGGTCATCATCCACCGAGTTAGTAAAAAGAGCTCAGCTTCCAACATTAGCGTCAAAAGCTATAGTTGATAGATTGGAAACAAGATAATGAATGACTCCATTCACATAGATACCTCCGATTATTTCAAACCACCGCGATCTGGATCCTCACGGTTAAATCATTGCCGAGCTTTAAAACAATACAGATTTAAAAATGACTGCTTTAGATTTTTTTTTTCCTTCCCTGGTGCAATTCAAGAATGGAATGCTGAATTGCATTCCATTCCTGAATTGAACAAGATGGAATAATTTAACAAATGACACTGTGACTTTAGATAGCTTCAATAACTTCGTAGAGGCTATTGAGTTACACCTCAAATGGTTTTTGTTTTGGTGTATCCCTGTTTTTCCTTGTTTTTTTTTTTTGTATTTTTAAACCAAATAGCTTACTCAATAGAGCTGGTAGTGTTTCCAAATAAATAAACAAGTATAATTAAACCTAGAACTTGGATTTGAAACTTTTTTTAGGCTTGCCGTCTGAAACACGAGAGTGCAACAAGAGTACCTAGGACCTATGAAGAATCTGCATCACAATATATTCGAATCGGCAATAAGTAAAATGACCCAGTTCAATATCTTTTTTAAATGATGCTAAAGCTATTGGAAGTTTTGTTGCACTCTTTATTATTTGTAGAATGTGCAGACATGCTTTTTGGAATAGCTGATGAGGGGGGCACTCTAATGAGCTGGGCAGAGACAACTGTCATAAAGTGCAGATTTCCCTGAAAGCTGAAGTAGGTAGAGAAGAATAAGCTTGCATTTCTGCTTGGCACGCGAAATTACAGTGGACGTGAGAATCCAACCCGAACCAGATTAGAAATGACACGAAACATGTCGAGACCAGTGTGCTCATCACTCAGATGCCAGCTGGCATATGGGAGCTCACCGCACAAGATCACGACTCAGTACGATCAGGTGGCAGAGGTCGTGTTTATGCGTGCACACACCCCCACATTAATTCGGCGAGAGACAGCTATTCTTGGAGCCTATTTACGGGTCCCCTAATGCCAGAAAGGGGGGGCTACGCTCGCCATCGAGTAAACAAAAACAAAGAGTTAGGGGAGGTTATTTCCAGGCCACGGCTCCGTCCGACGCAGAATAAAGTGAGCGTGGCGCTCGTTGCCCGTGTCGCCCCGTTCAAGCGCACGTTGCAGGAAGTGACAGCGTGGCACAGCTTGTCGGCGTCCTGTCTAAACCACTTCTGTCCGAAAGCCCCAAAGAAAGTGCCGAGAAAAAGACAACCAGCACTTGCGGTACAAGTTGAGAAAATGAACTTTGTTATACCAAATATACATCTAGTAGATGCTATTAAATTACCCTACTTTACGGACTATACATGTTTGAAAGTTGAAATCTCATGCGGTGTGGACTGTACGATTATTTGTTCTTCTAGATTGTTCATTATGACGAGATGTGGCAGATTTCGTGCGTGACAAAGTATGTTACGATAATTAATGCGTAATACCAGCTTTTTTCCAAGCTAATAAAGCAGGGATTTGCCAAGGTCTGCTGTGTACGTGAAATTTTATGTGTGGACTAGGCACCAAGGGCAAACCATACACCGGGCACAGACTATACCAAAGGAAAAAACTTTTTCTTTTCGAGGGAGAGGTAGGGCAAACTTCTCCGACGTCTCTTTGTCTTCCAGCAATGTTCTACCATTCTTGAAGCGCGAGTGCCACTCAAAACGCTTTGCAGAATTCACTACTTTTTGACATAAGCCTGTTGAGTCATTTCAATTTTATTTGCCGAATTCGACACATAATTGATGTTTGCCCTTGCTTTGGTTTGCAGTCTATTGAGAAATCGCCACTGCGCTCGTGCACGTGGTCACACAAATTCCTGTAGCGCAGCTCCAAATGCCCACAGAAAGACGTCCTTTGGCACAATGGAGACATGAAGGTCCCATGCCTTCGACTGCTCCGCATGCATCATTGTGTTGCCCTCTTTTTTTACGCTACAAAATCAGTCCCGGAACTTCTTGATTGCACCACATATTTTGACTTTATATGTTAACAAGAGGTCAAACTGAACCCAGAACCCAAACTAGTCAAATATGCAAAGAAAAAACTGGGGTGTGCCACGCTTTAAAAACGCGCTAAAATAATTTACATGTTCTAGCTCGACAACAGCGCAAGTGTGTGGGGAAGGAGCAAATGCAACAAAAAGGAAGTGCAAGGGCAAAAATTACTTTTTGAAGTTCACTATGACAACAGTTTTCACTTCCCGCAACCAGGGCCAGCAGAAAAATGTTTTGACTGAGCAGGGTGCAACATGCTTATGGAGTTCCTTTCAAGAAATCCCTATTTACTTTAGTTATTTGTGCTTAGTTCAGTAAAAGGTCATCATGAGGCATGAAATGCTTTAGCTGGAACTGAACTGAAAACTGAACTGTAGGGAAAAATAATAATAAAGGACACTTTAAACATGATTTCTTTGGGGGAATGTTGCTGACCATGGTGGATGTCCCTGCATAAAAAATATGCAATAATTCACAAACGAATTGCCTTAAACTGTCTAACCAACCTTATATTTGTCCTAGCCTGCACATTTCATTCCAAGATTTGTAGCCAGTCTTCAAAATAGGTTATCGCAATCATTAAATTCCATAAAATAAAATTAGCCTCTATATTCAGCAGTGAACTCAAGGAGTCTCCAGAGCCCATCGGAGCAAGACCAAGATCAAGAAGAAGAAAGCGCTGAGAGCTAAAGAGACATAAGAATGCGACATGACATTTCTGCGAGGTTGTGACCCTCAGATCGTGCCATTTCCAGATTGGCTCACTAAATAGTCTCACAGCAGTCACAAATGTGCGGACTTATTTTCGGTATATTGGGCCCTTTAGAGCTTGAATTAGTCATTGAATTTGTAACCAGAATCAATATCTATTTATATGCCTACAGAGTGTGAGGCCCGTTTTGATGAAGAGCTACAAAGTTTAGATTGAGGTGTGCCACCTTAGCTAATATTTAGAAAAGGGAATTATTACCTACTGTAAAATACCGGGCGAGCGCCCACTCAAACTTTGGAGATAATCGCGAAAAAATGGGGGATGGGCGCTTGTCCGGTCATGAATTTTACACATAAATGTACTGTGCATATTGTCTCAGATCTTACAAATTTGGTAATGGACGCTTAATGTGGAATGGAATTTGCGGCATTCTACGGTAGTATTTTTTAAGTAACCAGTTAGAAAACCTGGGTGAAGATGTGGATCAGCAGAGGCACACTCTTCGTTGTAAAGTGGCAATTTATGGAACTGAGGGCCCCAAGGTTGTGGTTAGAAAACGCCCCCCCCCCCCCCTCGGCAAGAAGTGAAAGGAGAGGAGGGGGGGGGGGGGGTCCGTTTTCCATAGAAAGATTATTATGCACTAATAAAGCATGCAAGCAAACTATATCACGCGCTCGGCTGTTTCCCGACAGTCTAGGTCCAGGTTTTGCTCTGTTCGAACAGAGTCAAAGTCCTGGGCAGTGCACCTCGGATGTAGCAGCCTTCCTTGGAGAGGGAGAGAGTAGACGTGACGGTTGGAAGGCAGTTAGGAAGTAGAAACATCAGGAGCAAAGGGGATGCGAGGGCGAGGGGGCCCGCATCACAGAGGGCTGGAGTTGTTTTCAAGGTACCTGGACCGCAGCCAGGTTCCACCCGAGGTCTGGAGTAAAAATGGATCTCACCCCTGACTTTGAGAAATTAGCGCCGACTCCACTCGGCCGCCGTAAGCAAGCGTTCCCAAACTGTCGCCCGAGACCCAGTAGCAAATTTCCCAATCAAATGTGTCGTCTGCCAATGCCCGCTTACTTCCGTCCGCTTTGGAAGGAAGCAAACTTGTCGACTGCTTTTTCCTACCATGGT